CCATATGACTTCCTTAAATTCCTCCAGCGATCCTCCTCATCTCAGTCCATCATGCAGACCAAATACATGCGACACGTTGTGATAATATGAGACTTTATTCACCCAGTGGCCTAGCCCAAAGTCGCACTACTCAACCTTACCAAGCCATCCCTAGCTGGCTACCTTGACGCCCTTTTCTGGACCACTTGAGGCGCACTGAGATGTATCATTCAAACAGACTTCCCAATGACACAATGACACCAGAGATGACTTGTAGGCCGTGGGGATAACGTTGCGTCGTGGTAAACTCAAAGCCACTAGTCTTGGACATAGCTAACTCAGGTCCCCTTTGCCTGTCCGCGCAAAGCCATTCAGTAGATGCTTTGGGAGCAGAAGACTGGTCATGCGATCCCTTCAATGCGGTATCAGACAGGTTTGATAGCTGTCCATCAATCTGAAAGGGCGTCAAGACCCACACTTCCGTTTGTTTGTTGTGCTGCCTAGTCACGTGCATGACTCAGCCTGGACCACCTGCAGCAACTGACAACTCGAATGCGCGCTATAACCTCTGTTTCTTTCCTCTTAACGTCTCTTGTCATTCTCTTGACGGAACCGAACCTCGCGACCGCAACCTTGCAGCACCTCGTCGTCATGACGCAGTACCAAGCTAACACGGTTCAGTCACGCTCACTGCGACGTCGCCTCCTCAAGGACATCGCGGAGATCGAACAAGATCCGTATCCCAACGTCCGCATTCACTTCCAGGACAACGACATCACAAGAGCGTGTCTTGTTCTCACTCCGGAAGGACAGAAGCCACTTCACCTCAAGATCCGCTTCACCGGCCGATATCCGCTGGTGGCGCCCGACGTCACAATCCAAAGCGCAATCATCCATCCAAACGTCTTCAGCGACTATGTTTGCGCCACCATGCTGAACACCGATGAGGGCTGGACGCCAGCGTATACCCTCAAGGGTATCGCTATTCAGCTGCTGAGCTTCTTCTCTAGTGATTCACTAGAGCAAGACCATGGTAATAGCACTATCAATCTGGCTTGGTATCGGCAGCAAGAGGCTCAAACGTTGGGAGAAGATCGCTTCAAATGCTCTCTGTGTGGATTCGGAGAAGACTCGTTACCAGTACCAGCTGCCGAAATGGAGGTCGACTCACCTGCACCGGATGTTCTCGCCCCAGCCCCTAGCCAGCATCAGAGAGGCCCTTCGGGGTTGTTTAGGCTACCAGATGAGATCCTTCTCGAGATCCTCAGCAATTCCAAGACCGTTGACGTTTTGGCCTTCGCCGACGCCATTCCCTTCATCAAGAACACGATGAACTCGTACGACTTCATCCGCATTCGCGAGCTGCAATGCTTTTGTCTCAAAGAATCATTCCTCGACGCCAAGCTTGGTATTGGTATCGCCGTGACAGGCGGTAACCGGCCGGTCTTCCGAACAGAGTTTGATCTGTTGAGTCACGAGGCGTTCTACAAGCACCACATCCGACGCAGCGTTCAGGGTGTTAAGTTCGATATCTGGCTACCTCTACCTCTGAGCCGACGCCACTGGAATCAAGTTAGAGATCATGTGATGGAGAGCACGCTGGATATCCACAGGACTGCGAACATCACGAACCCTGGAGCTTGCTATGTGGATATCCTGTATCATACTATGAACACCGTTGTCGTTCAGTTCTCATCAGATGCGGAGAGCTACAGCGGCCCTGACGCACGCAGCACCTTGAGTCACGCGTCAGAGAAGGCCGTCGACGCGTATTTCGGTCTCTTCCACCTACTGCTATGCCTGGCGATCGAAAACTCTCACATCACTGACAGCGCCAACAACACGATCAGACGCTTCATGGCCGGTCCGCGCAGCAAGGCAAACTTCCCCGATCTCGGTCACGTTCTCATAGCGGCTCTCATCTGCGACGACGGCCTTACCGAAGACCTGACTTATGAGATCATCGAAGAAGCCATCATTCGCAACGTCGTCTGGATGCTTGATGAGAAGGGTGCTGGTATGGCCGAGCTGGCATACCTGGAACCCTCCAAGATCTCCGAATACCGTACCAGCAAGACATACGCTGCCTCTCCCACCTCATACCGCCTCATGATGTTCCTGAAGATGTTCAGCGCAGCAGCCCGTCCACCCGGTAAGACCCTAGTTGAGCTTCGCGACTCGTTGTTTGACGCCCATGGGGCTCCTCCGCCGGGTACCTCAACGCGCATGGCCGAGGACATTCGCGAGATCCAGCAGTTCGACGCCTTTCCGCAGTTCTTGGCCAAGATGGGTCTCAAGCATTTGCCTTCTCAGCCTCAGTTCACTTCGTTCCTTCGGCGCACAATAACCGACAGTGTTGCCGCTGGCTATTCAATCATGCCGCTGAGCCAGAGCCGACTTTACCTCTTGCGACAAGAGGAGGAACGCTACGTGGAGAAGTCGGAAGATTTGCATGTCTCGCGGGATGATCATTGGTGGTACGAGAACAACAGTTTCAGAAACCCGTCTTTCTTTCCAAATCGCGGCGGAGGTGGCGGTAGATGGGATCGAGACACGCGTGGTGGTAGGGGCCGTCGGTATTAGGTAGATGCTTTTGCGGACTCTCTCGGCTTCAAGGTTGTAAAGCGCCAGAATCTTTGCGCAAGGGTTCGGCAGCTTCACGCTCGATGTAGATAGTACCCTGCAGTACGATAGCTAATCTCGGCTCTTACTGTCCGTAGAATCAGCATTTCATCAACATCTTCCTGCTTTCTCGTGACGTTACCTCTTACGATATAGTTCAGAGACGGGTAAACGGCCAGGTTAGCATCATGCAGCATCTAGACTTCAGCCAAGTAATTGAATGTGGGGAAAGGCGCAAAAACGTCATGTCGCATGCTGTACCACAAGACAGGTATTGGAACACCGCATCCTAAGGTCTGGTCACCTCTTCCTCCTCTCCGACATCTCTACAAAGTCGGCCTCCATAACGAATTCATCCTCGCCTTAACTTCTCTTCACATATCGCAACATGTCTGGTATGCCTTGTATGTTGAGTGGTCTTTGCTCCAGTAGCTAACAACTTCCAGACCAGCTCGACGACAAGTTCATGAACTCCGGCGGCGGTGGTAGCGCACCTCCTCCCAAAGCATCGGGCGACAAGGGCGATTCATCCAAGAAGGATGGGGACAAGAAAGACGGCGGCAAGGGCGAGGAGAAGAAAGGTTGAGAGGCATCGGGGATGAGTGGCTGGTAGCGGGGTTGGAGTTCGTCGATCAGGGACGCCTCGGTTGACGCGTCGGAACGCGCGACAGGATGCGCAAGCCTAAACACGTAGTCACGAACAATCGAACAGCTTGATTCAAGACGGCTGTTGAACGTTGATGTCAAGTGTGTCGCAGATGCATGATGCAGGACGCTCGGTGATGACTTCCGCGTCGTCATCTTGACGTTGACGCAACCCGACGTTCTCATGACGTCTACACACTGTTCATAAGAGCACCAGTACGCCCAAATCTCCTGCTGAAGGCCCAAGGTACCATAACCCCACAGCATCAGTCCCGGAAAAATCACCATGCCCAGTATGTCTCCCGCACCTTCCACGTCATTCCTCTCCACTGACACCATACCCTCAAGACCAGGTCAACGACCCCTCAAAGACCAGCGAAGACACCTTCGGTGTGCAAAAATCTGCCAAAACACCCCAGAAGGCCGCACAGGATCAGGAAGACTACGAGGCGCAGAAAGAACATTCGAACAGTGGCAGCAACACGCATTCGGGGACAGGCATGGAGTACGTTGATCGGAAGAACATCAAAGGAGATGAGAAGCAGAGGAGAGAGGGGAACTGAGTGGCGTGTCATTACATGATTTAAATCAAATCCAAATTTCTGCCCACGTTTTGACTAGGCTAGCATCCAACTTGATGCCTTTCTCGCAGACTCTTCAAAACCAACCAAAGGGCTCCCATTGAGCAACAGCTGCCGGCATCGGGATGCCGATGAACCCAATCAACATGATCAAGAGCGAGAGGATCATCTTGATAGCGCCGAATATAAGAAGGAAAGCCAACTTGGCAGCGGCAAGGGAAAGGATAAAGAGAACGATCCCAAAGAGCAATATGGCAAGGCCCTTCAAGAGTGTTCCCACCACCTGCAATAAAGCCTGAATTCCGGGTTGTGGAGTCAGCAAGTGCATCATACACACTGTAGACCGGATCATTACGTACCCAAGATCGGCGGTAAAGAAGTTGTCGCATCTCTCCATAAGAAGTCGTGGTGGAGGACTTTCTTGTATGAGTTCCACTGCTAGATTCGAGGCCCTTTTCCGCGGCGCTGATATCGACCAGGCTATCTTTTTCGTCTTGGCTAACAGTTTGAGACATCGTTACGATACTGCTTTGAAGAGTTTCGATGCAATGTATTGAGAGGGAGGAGGTGCTGAGCCCATTCGGCAGGGTACAGCAGGGCTTTTAAGGTGTGCAGTGATGTCCAGGTAGCGAGACACGCGACCGTGGAGCCCCGGGAGGAGGTACTCTGGTTCTGCCCATGATTAGCAACACTCGCGCAGATCGAGCAGTGAGCCACTCAAAATGCCCGCAATCTACAGAGGCTCGCAATACTGACAAGACAATAGGCGTCTCGGCGGAATCTTGTTCATATGTGCCTGTTGCTTTGAACAGCTCCAATAGACATTACAGACCAAATGTCATGGATTGTGTGGGCCTACAAATACGTACCTGGTATACAGCATCAGTCCGACGATGGAAGAGAAGCACCTAGTCTGCAAGTGCCTTGACTCAACGTCACTTCTGAGAAAAAACATGAAAAGCTCGATACGCTTACGCCATCCAGTCCAAATATCGACACGGCATCTAGGATTGGAACAAACGACTGGCATCCATCTATATAGTTACAGTCTTGCCCACATTTCCACAATACAATTCTCAATTTGGTACGAGCCACTCATGAATACTCGCAAGTATAATACACTGTCATGAATACTCACACCATTTTACCATTAGCCTCCAGGGGATAGAAAGCTCAATCAAATCCCTTCCAACCACACTTGAAATGGCGCTGCCATCCAGTGAACCCTTTATACATGGGTTGCCAATCTGCCGCGTTGAGATCCTGGCACCACATGTCTTTGGAAACCAGAGGAGCATTCTTCTTGTTATCCTTACAAGCTTGCTCGCAAGTCTGCAGCCTCCATGGGTCACTTTCGATGCGATTTTCTGTTGTCATGTAAGGCCTGCATGGGATGCCCGGCATGGAATCGCAGCCGGTGACCTTCTTGCGGATCTCAAAATTGACTTTGGCCATATCACCATTGTGTGCTAGGAAAAGTTAGCGCGTGTCTAATAAGGCGATAAAGAGTTCACTTACGTTCATAAACGGTCACGTCAACTCCAAAAGGCATTGAATCACCGTACGGACGATTAACGCTCTGGATGTAGTCGGTGATTTTCGAGTCCTTGTTGTGACCGCGTACATTGTGGAAACCCGCGTGGAAGCCATTGGGATCGTACAAGTCCCATCCTAATTCCGCGTAGTCGTCGTACAAGAATTGCTGAAATTCCACTGTCCAGTGGCCGTTCCTGTCCATAGGTGTATGGCTAGGAGCTGGTGCTGCCGAAGTGGTGGACGACGAAGAACTGGTGGACGACGAAGAACTGGTGGACGACGACGAACTGCTAGACGACACCTCAGAAGAGCTTTTCGAGGTTGATGAACCCATGCTAGAGTACGTCCACGTGTTTGATGGCTCATCGGGATTGTTGTTTCCCTCATCATCATCCAAAGAGAGCGGTGCTCGGGTACATGCTGGGGCGTCGGAAGTTAGCGTGCCGGTAGTAGTCAGCGTTGTCGTGGTGTCGTAGCCTTTGGCCGGCTCGCAGATGGTCCTCGTGGCATCGATCAGCGGCAGACATACAGATGTAACCATCGTGGATGATGTACCACCGCCGAAGAAGCTATAGCTAGAAGGCATGGACGAGACGTCAAAACCCTCCGTGCACATGACGAAGCGATCAGTGATGGTGGTCCGCATGCTGTCGTCGCAATCTTCTGGGTCTGGTTGGTCCGCCGGTTTAGTTGGCGCAGGGCCAGGCTTCGGCCCACAACCGCCCGGAACGGTACAACCTGGGAGGCTACAAAGTTCTGGCGGGCACGGATCACACCCTGTTGGACCTGGACAGTATCCGTCGGCGCCTATGATACCCGTAGGCCGCGGACCGGTATGACAACCGAAGAAGATGCACGGGTCACAGCCGAAGATACCACATGGAATGGTGAGCGAAATGGGCGGAACGACATCTTCAGGGCAGCCAGGCCCGTACCCCAGTCCCATCCACCCGCATTTACATCCGAAAAGCTTACATTTAGGGTTCGTAGGTTTTGGAAACGATGTTGGCTTTGGCTTTGGCGGCTTGACTGATGGATCGTCATCGTCGCTATCGCTAGGACTGTCGCTGTCATGATCCTTGTCACATTTGTGTATGACACAAAGGCAAAAAGGCCGCTTGAAGAGCAAGAATGATGCGAGTCTCTGTGCGGCGCATGCAGCGATACAGTTCTCCTCTTTGCACTCGGGGTCGCTGTCTGTAACAGAGTCTGGATCGCCTGGGTGACCATCCTTACCACCGTCGTCATCCGGGCCAAACCACCATAGATAACACCACGGCTTATTAGCTGGCTCAAGACATTCGTGCGGTGGTTCTTCATCGGGAGGGCGAGGGAACACATAGCCCACACAATACTTTAGGCACCACTCGAGGGAACGACACAAGTCGGGACAGCCTACGCCTGTAGGTATCGCGCTGGGAGGCATAGTGCTGGTCCCAATCACGATCGGAGCAGGAATGGAGCCACTTGAGGTACTGCTACCCGAGACACCAGGAGGGACGACGATGGAGCCGCTTGGGGTGCTGCTTCCACTCGGAGGGACAATGGTGATGCCATTCGAGGTGCTGCTTCCCGAGACACCAGGAGGGACGATGATGGAGCCACTTGGGGTGCTGCTTCCCGAGACACCGGGAGGGACGATGATGGAGCCACTTGGGGTGCTGCTTCCCGAGACACCGGGAGGGACGATGATGGAGCCGCTTGGGGTGCTGCTTCCACTCGGAGGGATGATGGTGATGCCATTCGAGGTGCTGCTACCAGAAATCCTAGTGGGAATGACGATGGAGCCACTCGAGGTACTGCTTCCCGTGAAACCAGGAGGGATGATGATCATGCCACTCGAGGTGCTGCTACCAGAAATACCAGTGGGGATGATGATGATGCCTTCTGCAGTAGTGCTGCCTTGGACTGAGGTCAATCGAGTGCTCGGGATTGCGCTTCCAGACGATTGTGCAGCCGAACTGCCTTGAGCACTTGACTGAGCCACAGAAGATGAGCCAGAAGGCGCGACGAGTGATCCAGACGCGGACACAGAGGTAATAGGTGATACCGATGACCATGCAGTCGAAGTGCTACCGGCTTGGCTGCTCGATATACTCGTGGGCGCTACAGATCCCGCGGAAGAACTCCACGCTCCAGAAGATGGGGCGGCTGATGATCCAACGACTGAGCTTGTCGGGGCGCGGGAAGATGGTGCAGTAGAGCTTCCCTGAATCGAGGATGCAGTGGGGGGCGGCACAACGACACTTGAGCCAGCTTGAGAGGATACTTGACTGCTCCAAGCTGCGGTGGACGACGGGACAGAAGACGGCACGGAGGATGCCCACTGAGAAGACGAGGATGCAGCTTGAGAAGACGAAGACGCAGCTTGAGAGGACTGTTGACTGCTCCAAGCTACGGAAGACGACGGGGCAGCAGGCGGTATGGATGACGCCCACTGAGAAGACGAAGACGCAGCTTGAGAGGACTGTTGACTGCTCCAAGCTGCGGAAGATGACGGGGCAGGAGGCGGCACCGAGGACGCCCATTGAGAAGACGAAGGCTGACTGCTCCACACAGTAGAGGATGGCGGAACAGGTCCTTGCACTGATGATGGAGGCGCGGAGGCTTGCACCGAGGATGCCGACTGAGACGATACAGCTTGAGACGAGGTCTGACTGCTCCATACCACTGAGGATGGAGTTGCGGAGCCCTGTACTGAAGACACGATCGATGGGGGTGGGACAGCGACTGCAGAGGACGGGCTCGCAGAGCCTTGCACCGAAGACACAATGGACGGTGGCGGGACAGCGACTACAGAGGATGCGGAAGGTCGAGGTGAGCCTTGTATCGAAGACACAATTGTAGGCGGTGGTATAGCGACCACGGAAGACGGAGGCGGGCGGGGAGAGCCTTGCACCGAAGACACGATGGATGGAGGCGGGACAGCAACCATGCTGGAGGCGACCGGGGGATAGTGGACGCTGGTCGGTGGAACGACGGTACCTTGTACAGATGTCGTGACCGAGATCGGGTCGGTGGGAATTCCGTATTGTCGGGGAACTAAGATGGACGAGTGATCCGCCGCACCCTGGATTCCAGCCTGTCCGCTGCTGACCGTAGAAGCGACCGTAGAGGATGGAGAGCTGCCGGCGTAGCCACCGGTAGCGGCCAGCCCTAGAAGAGTGAAGACGGAAAAGCGCATCGTCGGAAGCCGCAGTCGTCGTCCGCAATTGCTTCGATTTTGAAGACAGCGAAAGAGGGTTGAGGAAGCGAGTGGAAGGCGCGGTGGAGGGGAAGCTGTACGAGGCCGGTGAGCGCGAGCTGATATACAACGGAAGAGCTAGGCACAAGCGCTAGTCGGGTGGTGAGGATCTCAAGATTAGGGTCCGTGAGGAAGGCGCGACAGGGTGAGGGGCAAGTCCGCGTAGGCAACGGCGTGGCCGGCATGGTAAGTGAAAGAGTGTGCGGCTGCACACCGCTCGGCCTGGCGGAGGTGTCAGATGAAATGGAGTGTAAATGTTTCTATGCTTGTCACCAAGAGCAGACCGTGGCAAGAGCCTCGAGGTCATTCCTCCGAGCTTGTAGTCATTGAACCCAGTGCCTATCATCACTGCTCTTGCTCCTGGAAGTGACATCACGTTGTACTCTTAGCAGGGTTGTTGTGTCCACTTCTCTTCCTGATCCTTGTACTTCCACATCAGTTGTACGTATATACCGGGTTTCAAACTCACGTAAGAGCTGTTGACGATCTAGTTGTAAGTAGACACACCCATCGGTCTGGGTAGGTATGCTAGTGGGACTCGATTCACTCGGAGATTTGAGGTTAATACGCTGCGACTCACATTGATGATTCCAGCAAGCATGAGACGCGTATTCCAAGCATTCTCATTATCGAAACAGACCGATCTGAATAGTTGCGACGCAACTGACTGCCACTCAATGGACTGACGTTGCAAGCGTATGCAACATCGTGAAAAGCGAGGACAGCGTCAGAGGGTAAGTTATTGGAGATGGTGAAATGAAATGTGAACGACTATGACGAGATCATATCCAATGTCTACGTGGAAGCTGAACTCGAAAGGGACTGAAGTCTAGTTGCAGCACACGGGCGAACGTGGATGTTTTCCGAAGGAAGCAAACGGATGGGACGCTGCAACCAGTATAGGTCTAAAAAGGATGAGAAAATACCTTGGGCGGTAGGCAGAGCGCTGATTGAGAGATGAGGATAAGTTGCGTTGATGACCGCACGTTTGCTGGTGACAACGGCAATGATGAGATGGATGAGGAGACGAGCCACCCGAAGAGCGTACCTAGAGACGCGACCGCGATGCCCCACTTTCCGTAACGCGCTAGACACGCGTCAGGCGCCCCGCCGTCCCCGGGGCCTGCGGTCTTCGTCGACATGGCGGCTATCACGTCATCCATGATACAGCACGTCGAGATGCTACCACACTGTATATCTGCATTGAACTTATTACCTTGAATTCCTTCCGGCCAGACTCCACACTAGAAATGCGCGCCAGCACCTAAGCCCGCCTGATGCCACGGCGCATGCGCTCCACGATCATCCGTCCTCCGCGTCCCTCACGTTCTACACGTCTCGTCGATTCGCTACCTATACAAGCCGTAATATTAGTCCGCGATACGCTCGACTCGGCATCATATCAGTCCACTATATAGCCCAGTCCGCAGGAATATCCCTGAGAGATGCAGTCATGGGAAAGACTAGGCTAGAGGCAGCAGTGTGCTTGAGAACGTCGCGCTACATCCTGTCTATCGTAAAGCTTGTGGACCTGCATTGCTATTTTCATCCAGAAAGCAGTTATGCATGAGCCCGGGTACACACCCACGCCTGGGTCTTGCACCAAAGCCTTTGCTCTAGCCCTATGAAGATGCATTTGGGTAGCCGGACATGGAATAGCCACCGCGAACATTCGTTGGATCGACGACGTTGAAGACTCATGGGTTCCGATAAGCCTCTGAATAGGATACGACATACCTCATTTTTCTTGCTCATTTTTCGACAGAACCTTCTTCGTGGCATGAGTACCGAGGAGATGACTGGCTGACCGAGGTACGAAGCAACCAGTGATTTGGGATTTTGTAGTTCTCAGAAAGATTGTTTCGTATGGCTTTCGATATCATGGCTTTCCGGTATATGGCATTTTCATGTCCGAACGCTTCGCGGCTACACTCTCACATCCCGAGGTCACCATGACCGCATTTAGCAAATTGAAACCACTGTCAATCATACCTATAGCGTGTTATGTGGCCCTGGACCAAAGGCTGGGTAGCTTAGGAAACGTCTTTACGCATCACACAACCCGTGGCCAAGCATGCTTCATCAGTGGTTGCACTTTCCTTTCCGAGACCTTCGTCATAGAAGACACGCGCGCAAATTGGGATATGGAACAATCGCTCCTTCACCTACGAAGTCACTGTGGCAGCCTCCAATAGCCGCTAGTCTTGCGCCTTGCCTCTTGTATCACGCTGTTCGTCTTGCTGATGTTCCTTGTATCTGTTGCTTCGTTCAGTTTCCCTGGCAGCGATCAGCGACATGACCTTCGTCACCGCCCTTGTCGTCGCGGTTGCCATACACACAGTTGTCGGCAGTATCAAGACTCCGCTGGCCTCCGCACCCATCTCAGACCGCAACATCACCCGCATATCTTCAAATTCGACCAGCCGTGAACCCAACGGACTACACCCCACGGTGGCCTTCTGGGACGATGATTATGCCGCGGAGGAGGATTGGAACAAGAATGCAGCCAAAGGAGGCGCCCTGATCTGTGGTCTCGAAGGCTCTGATCAGACCGCAGGCCGTCAGATGAAAGATACTCGCGAACCCCCATCTGCTGCAAGGCCTTACAATAGTGACCTCAAGATAGGGCTTCAGGACTGGTACTGGCGAGAAACTAGCTCATCGTCGTTCAGCTGCAGCTTTTCTGAGCACTGGCATTTCTCACATGCGATGCGCTCACTTGGTCTCGACGGACGGCCGACTTCAGCAGGCGGAGATAACCAGTGCTATAGGGTCGAGCATTGGGACCCAGAGAAAAGAGATAATGAGGGCAACCAGATCCCGGCTATCAATCAGTGGTACAGCACAGCAGGTAACAGCAAGCAATACAGAGTGAGTTTAGGCTTGCGTATGAGCAGTAGTTAGATGCTGACGGCGTTACAGGCAACAAAGGCGCATTTTGAATTCGGAATCAACACCAAAGGAGGCGCTATCTATGGTCTCTTCCTTGAAAGCCCTCAAGCATCCGCCAAGACTATCTGGGGCGGTGGTACGAAGGAGCCGAACAAAGACGATCTACCTCAACTTCGCGCTTTCTCAGACATCATCTGGGGATTTTGGGTTCGTAACAACCCCAATATCAAGAACATTCGCCACTTCTTCATGATAGCCATCTCCAACGAGGTGACTAATCAAATCATCGCTTCTTGTCTACGCGACCGTAACACCGAACTAAGCGAGTGGCCGGGAACCAACTTCTCTACCACTACGGATCCGGGCCATGCGCTGCTAGGCTAGTCGCGTTCAACTCCGATGACATAGATCAAGACTAACCCAAACCAGGATCTCCAAACGGTGCTGGGTTCGCTTACTTTCTCATGCAGCACAAATTACAACTTGGCCAAAAGACCATCAGCAAGATCACTATCTTCAGGCCGGAAACAGACGACGACGTCAGCCTTGTCGACGCATCTCTGTGTTTCCACGTGGTCGATGGCCCGCAGCCACCACCTGATGATGCTCATATGGAAGGGACTGATCGCCTGAAAGCTCGACTTGTGCGAGAGACAAATTCAAAAGATTCATCCCCCAACAGCTTGGTCAGGGTCCACGAGATCTATATGTAGCCAACGGTTAGTGGGCGTTTCAGACATGAGGATGGTGTAGGCAGACATGCAAACACAGACTTGATGTACGACTTCCGTGTACTGTCTCCAGGCTTCTACAGCGAGCCAATTTTAGTACATGCGCGAGTATTGTATCTATTCATTTCGAATGCTCCCCTGATTCTGTATGGTAAACAGACATCCGTGGTGGACTCTCCGTTCATCTCACTCCGATTGCGTACATAAATGCAGGTAATTTCTCAGAAGGGTTATTGCGCTGCGGGAATCTTTCTTAGCGAGTAGTGCAAGTAAAGATCTGTTTAAAATGAGACTACAAGCATATGTTGGGAGCAAAAGGCGCATATCAGCCGTCTTGATTGTGGACGGCTGGGGGTGTGAAATCGTCTCATCGTCATCACCGAATTAGGGAAGGTGTACCGATGGTCCCGAGGTCTGTGCGATTGAGCTGGTCATCTCTCTTTCTGGATCAGCGTTGATGTTCAAACACTCGAGTATTGATCCAGACGACTAATTGCTTTGATGCGCAACCGAAATGGCCCTATTTTGCGCCCACGCATACAGTCCTGAGGGCATGCTGCCCCTAGATCTTACGGGCCTGCGCCAATCCGTTCATGCCACACCCTCTTGCGACACATTATAAAGCTACAAATCACAACCATCCATGGATCCCGCACACCAAAGTGCAGACGCAACAACTCGTGCGAAGCAAGACCGGGCATCATCCTGGGTCGAAGGAAGGCGCGTACTGCGTTTCGTTGAAACCGACACCTTCAAAGCTTCTTACCGGATGCGCCCATGGCACAGTTCACAGCTCGCCGGGACTCTCGCGACCCGATGTTGTTGACTGTGATTACTCGGCGTATGGTGGAGGTTGTGCATCAGTGCTATCACGCATAGCCAGACGAAGGTCGGTAGGACTGCCGAGAGACGGCGATGACAGCAGAGGCGCGTGAAGACGCGCATTAAATCTCTCGCAAACGCGTTTCAGGTGTGTAAGGTCTACCGTTGACCGTACTGTTTCCCCGTGTAGCGACCCGCTATCCCTCCTCGAAAAGAGGCGTCTCCAGAACCCCGGTCTCCGCTCTGTAAGCGCCTTCCATTCAATGTCCTCTGGATCCTGACATTTGCCAAAGTCGACGTATCTGGAGACGCTTACGACATAGGTTGATTTCGGAAACCTCGACTCGTCTGCGCAATTTCCATCGAACAGCCTTCGCGGAGTTATTTCGATGACCACTTCGGTAGGACAGGCGGTGCACCGCAAGGCTTTATCAACATAGCTATCTTTGAGGTCCTCAGGATCGTGGTACATGTAGAAGCGAGAGACGGCGTTTCTTACGCCACAACCCATGGAATATATATTCAGAACCGGGTCCAGATGTGGACATAACGAGTATGGGATCCCAAATACTACGGCCTTGGGGTCTACATCCTCGACTTCCGGAATACCACTGACCCACCTCTTTCTCAAAAGCAAATGACCATCACATGGCAATGCGTGGATGTCACTGCCCCACCGTTTTGACCCCGATTGATGAAAGCCTTTAGGGCGTAGGAGGTTGTGTCCATACCGAGGGGAGTGCCGGAACCCGCGCATCGTTTCGTGGACGGTTTCCCAGTCCAAACCGTCGAACTTTGTTGTGCGCCGTTTGCATATCGTCCTAGTCCCGTACTTGAAGGCGGCCGGAGCGTTTTGACCCCAAATATCCCGACTACCAGGTGATTTGCGCTTATGGTATGAGCCGCAATAATAACATATGATATGGTCCGGATAGTGCTTGTCGAAACACAGAACCGAGAACCTCGCTCGCTCAGCCTCATTCCCTTCTTTCTTGATCAGGGCGAAAGGGTTCTTGATGGAGCGGACCAATGTATTCGAGTGGTGGCTCGTCATTGCGAACGTCGCCATAGATGATAAAGGTAGAAGTTCCAATATCGTCCTGGATAAATGCCGAGGCAGTCTGTATAAATGAATCTGACGGCCAGATTCCCATGGTTTGGGAATATTCATGGGTGTTTCTGTGTGTTGAGTCATGTCGTAAGTCTGGTTTCGTGTTTGCTGGATGCTGTGGTCAGAGATGACTTCTACGCTGCAGACCTTGGGGGGTTTGGGATCTTAGGCGATTATATATGCTCTGAAATCACCGTTGTGCGTCATATTCGGCGCGTGCGCGGCTATCATTTTGAGAGGTAACCACAGGCAGAAGGTATGTTGACCATTACGTAGAGCTGATTGGGTTTATCAAATCGCAGATGCAATACTCGGTACCGCGGGGTGGCCAGAATCCGTGTCGCATGTTGCTGCATACACATCACTGGATCTTGATAAGCAAACACCTCCTGAGCTAATTTATACATCTACCTTATAATAATTGTGCAGAATTCGATACGAATTGGCAGCTACCATTGGCGTCGCGAGGACCATAGCGACAAGCCACTCACAACTAATTCTACGAGGACCCCCGTGGAATATAATCTTCTGATAAGGATGGCGGCAATAAATGATAATTCTGAAGAACACTCAGGGTTTTACTGCAAATCGTTGGAATAGGTCGTAGTTCTCACAAGCGGCTTTTGTTCTGACCTCTCGTCTGAATGTTTCGTAATAGTCGCCATCGAGCGGAGGAAATAACGCTATCCAGGCGGCGCGCTGGGGAAAAAAGTTGGAATGTCCTAGGATAAACCAATGCGGAGTATCTGGGCAGACGGTTCAGCTTCCGGGTTAGATCTTCCGTGATGGGTGCGAAAGCAGTGCGGAACATGGATATTGTAGCTGCGTCTGGGTAGACCTCATTCGTGTCTTGCGTGCCGAAATGACGCGCGACGGCTTGTAAGTACTGCACATAACTGGAGCAGGGTTTGTAGGTGTACACCTCGATAAGACCCGATGAGTTCACTCTGGCAGCAGATATGGAGGTCGGGTGCATCGTGATGCCAAAAGGGCCGTGTTGTGAAATAAGTTTGGTTGTGCATGCTTACACGCATGCGAAGAGAACAAAGGTCCGGATCGTCGAAAAGATCTTTGCGGGTTTTAGTAATCAACGGTTTCCTCAGGGTCTTCCCTAGTCACCTACGTAATTTCTGCTTACCTGGATAACCACACGCCGCAAGCGTTGGCGGAAGCGGCTACGCGACATGCTTCCCACTCCAAGATCAGAATAAATAACAGGCGCTACTCTACGATTTGGAAGAAAGGCATGGATATCACGGAAACGAGCTTTAGTATGACCGCAATGCATGCCCGGATGATGTAAAAGTCACGTGACTTGTGCAACCTTCTCTATCGATGTAGAAGCAAGAGTGAAACGATGCATGGAAAGACCTCCGTATGTAGGTAGACAGATATTGAGACGTCTCAGAGGCCATTCTATTCTTGAGCATGCGTCCATGCACTGCGGAGAGCCTGACACAGGACCCGAGTAATCCGCCCACCTGCGCTATACCAAGGCTAGCCGGCATAGCCACCCAACGTCAACGTTCATTGGCCAAAACACATACTCGGGGGAGTAAACAAAAGATCTCGCTGTCTCACTACTGCTGCGTAGTACCGTTGTCGTGCCGGAGCGACACATCGATTGGCTGACGATGCCAAAAAGCGCCTCGTGTGTACACGCGGCTCTGATGCACTTGCGGCTATGTGCTTTTCGCTGTTGCCTGAGAGATGATGAGACGCTATCCCAGTCGGTGATGTGACTTAAACAGGCCTGTAGACTTCAGTTTGGCTTTGTTGCACCAAGCCATCTTGCTCTTTTCGTCTTCACCTCCATTTTCAGATACCAACAGATTACCCAAACCAACAAGATGATCATGGCGCAGGAACGTTCTCTTCGCGTACTGAATTTGTTTGCCAGTGCCCTCACAACACCTTTCCTCATTGCCATCACCGTTCTCTCGCTGGAGTCCCATAGTTACCGGTATTGGTACGACCATCGCGATGTAACTACATTCTGCTTCGGCTACATCCCCCTCGCCATGACTGCGGTTGCTTCAACGGCGAGCATTGTCCACCAACGAAGGCACAATCGTACGCCAGGCCCCAAGTTCGCTCTCCTAGACGGATTGGCGGGTATCGCCTATCTTGCAATACTCATTCCGATCTGGGCAGTCGAGGTTGACGATCTGGGGTCAGCGGGATATGGCTTCTTGGCTGGATACGCAACAGCTCCCATGATTGTCAATATGTAAGTTGTTCAAAGTCCGAGCCAGTCATCAGTAGGGTTGCTAACATGATGACAGGTTTGTCCACTTCTACTTCTTTGCTTGCAAGGCTCGAGCGATGTGGTTTGCGTTGCGTACTCCTACGGTACATGAGTGCCCCAACTGCCACCACGACCTGACGGTGGGCACCCCACAGATCAAAGAGACGAACAAGGGTGGAGCGCGGTACAGCTTGCTGCGTGGAGAAGACTATCTCGATGCCGACGCTGATGCCGAGCGCTACATTGATGAGAGCGCGAGGCCTTCCGAGGAGCAGCTCCGACCTGAGGATGATGACAAGGAAGACAAGGGCAAGTCCAGCATCGATGTCTGAGATGTGATCTGGCCTGGTTAGCTCTCGAGCTCTCATGTTGTCGCATCAGAAAGAACGCCGGAGTGTGAAGGAGCGACGAAGGGATTGGCGTTGTGATATCGGATATATTGCGAAACGACTCGCATGAGGGAACACGTTCTGCGATCAAAGTTCAGAGGGATTGGTATTGCGGCGGTGGTGCAAGAGAGACGTATCATGTGTACGACACTTCTTTTCTTAGGCTGGTGGGATATCTGGGATTCATTCGTGAAGGGTTTGCGCTGTCGTTATTCATTGGGCTTAACGTATCTACATCTTTTCGATCATACATTCCTATCATATGTGGTCATATGCATCAATCGATTGCCTATTCAGATTCAGGCATATTGCGGAGGAAATCTCTCGCCTTGATCCCACTGCAGATTGCCACGTTAGTGATGATTCTATTCCAGTATAAGAGGTAAGACTTACATGCTCCGCGATACATCCACCCTCCCATCGAAAACGGTCAACGACTTCCCCAAAACTTCCGGTGCGGTAGTTCAGCCAGCTTTGTGGAGACTTGAACGCTGTACGCAATGGTGTAATGCTCTGCGAGCTCCAGATTGGAGAGAGGATGTTCCAGGCGGAGTCAGACCCGTTCTGTGCAGCGGGGTTGTGGTTCTGTACGTGGTTAGCTGTCATTGATCCTCTTGAAGACGTCATGGCCCTCTCACAATGTAGTCTTTGGCTATGTATTTGAACGCCTCACTGATATCCTTCTTGTAGATGAAAGCTTGGGCGAAGGCTTCGGCACGCGTAGCTGTCTGCGCTTCGGTTGTGTTCATCACACGCACGCACGGTGCCGGCTTTGTCGGACGCGCCTGGCGGGCTGCGAGTATATCTGACCTGCTGTGTATCTCGGCTGGAGCCGCCAGGGCTACTAAAGGTGCAAGCATGATACAACACAGGGTTGTGAAGCGCATTTTGAGGATGATGTCAATATGGCGGCGCTGCGGTAGCGTGAAGATGGAAATGGCAACGAACGTACAAGCGTGCGCACACTTATACCACGAGCACCATACTTGAGTATCACCGTTGCTCCTCGCACAGACGTGTGATCAACACCAGACTGACAATTTACGGCACAATCTCCCAAATTGATGCGCCGAGCTGCCCCACCGGTAATATTCCGGGGCATATGCGAGGCGATGTCACCATTCGTGGTATAAAGAAGGCTGTGGCCTTGGGATGTTATCGACGTCTCAGGTTACGGTCGGCAGTTGTCGTGGCAAGCATGGTCGTTATCGTCGCAATGTGTAGGGCTGGACAAGGGGCTGGGGCTGGCTCAGATAGACAAGGACGCGAATTGGGCCGAAGCTTCCAGGGTTAATGACGTCTGCGCACGTGTGGGGCCGACGCGTCCAGAATGCTGACTCATGCACGCGCGCTCGCAAGCAAAGAGACCTCGGCAGCTTGACAAACAGTACGCGATTTCTCTACCCTACCACGACATGCGCGTAAACTACCAGGGCATGGTCCACCGCCCTCACAACAACTCAACCCAGGCTCGACCAGCCATCGTCCCCCTGCCCCGGCGGGCATTATATCCTTCGTTCTCCCCTGTACACGACCAAGCAAGCTCCTGAAGACTCACGCAGCAGATCCCACTCTAGCGTGCGAGGTACTCGTTATATGAAATCTCACCAGTCTAAACACCGAATCCAGGCATCGTAGCGCTCGCGCTCACCACCCTCGTCGCCTCTCCATCGTGGCTAGTATCCTAGTCTTCGTCGTCGCTCTCGTCTCCATCGATCATCTCCCCGTCTTCACTCGCCCTCTGAGACATGGCGTGCAATCGGCCTGAGCCCTGCAGATTGTCAGGGTCGTAACCGCTATCGCGAAACATCTGCAGCTGGCCCTCCACGATCGCTACCTTCTTCCGCTGAATCTCCGCGGTGTCCTTGGAAAGATTCATACCCTCGCCGGAATAGTTCAGCCCACCTCCGCCTCGGGCAGCGAGTCTCGCATGCGTCAGATCGGACGCAATCCAAGTGTATTCGGATGGTTCAGCATATGATCCAGGGCTGTTTCGGAAGAGATCGCGAGCTCTGCTGTATACCCGAGGAAGTTGCACAACGATCACATTGACGTCTTCGTCGTCTGACGAGTGTGAGGAGTCGGAGGAACCATTGTACTCTTCGTCTTCGTCGTGGAGCTCTTGCTGAACCTTCTGAAGCCTGGCCTGCTCGGCTTCCCATTGCGTCAGTCCACGCCCATGCGCTTTATTGGCCTCACGATCGATCTTCTGGAATGCCACCTTCTTAGCCCAGGCCTCCTCCTTTTCCTCCTTCTTACGATCTTTGCGCTGGTAGGGCTCGGGTCGCTTCTGGAACGTACGGGACGTGGGCGCCGATTGCTTCGCAGCGTTGGATTTCGATACCAAGGGCGCCGTGGACAATACAGACTTGTAACATCCTGTCGCTGGGCTCCAATGGTGATGGTATGTCGAACATATCGCTGCCGACTCGCTTATGCTCGCTCCTGATGCCCATTCTATTTCCAGTTTCGTCATCAACGCCTGCTTAGATTCATGGTACCAATGATCGAGCCCGGATATTTTCAGCAATTCCAGGGTATCTTCGGCCTTCATGGCCAAAGCACCGACAAAGAAATTGAAAGCTCGCGTGTCATTCTCCGATAAGAGATTCATGAACGCTGGGCTCATGCGGAGGAATCCGAATTTCTCCATCGTACCATCGATGGTGCGAATCAGGCGCTGCTGGGGACGATGCAGCTCCTCATATACTCTATCGATGATCATATCGCACACCGCAAGTGCGCCCATCGTGTGGGCGAAAACGTATAAGTCTTCAAGTTCTCGCATGGACCACTGGATCTCCGTAGTCCGTGTGTCCGCGTGACCCGCGTTGATCAATTCGACAACATCGTGAGTGGGCAGGGCCGCTCGGATGTCGGGCGAGATGCACGCGACGAAGCGGGCGATAGTATCGGCATCTATGTCTTCTCCGTACTCGATCGTATCGACTGTCGGATCGTTTTTGATGGCGTCCTTTATAAAGGTGCAGTGCTCGATGGCTTGCTTTCGGCTCAGAACAGGTCGAGTGGGATGTCCGCGGCGCACGTCACCGGTCTTTCGCTTGAAGCTCAGAACATCTTCGGTGTCTCGATTGTTCTTGTAGCGTACGACCTCTGCAGCCTCAGCCTCTGGATCGCTCGTTACCTCTCTTGATTGCGCGGCGGCAGGGCTGTCAAGACGTATGATGTCAGTTCTATGGTCTGTAGTCATGTTTGGCATAGAGTTACTTACCTCTTCCCTTTTTTCTCAAAGTCACAAATGAGGTCGCTTGGTCTCGACTCTGCCTTCGCTTTCCTCGAGAGAAGGAACATCAACTCCGCGTCTTCTCCACGATGCAGTCCCACTCGATAGTCTTCTGGCTTAGGCATCGCAGCCTCAGTAAGACCTCGTGTGGTCTCCTCTTGCGGCTGTGGTGTGGTGTATCGCTGAATACGGGGCACTGGTTCGTCGGCCATGTGTTCACTGCTCTCAAGCACGTTGGTATAGCTAGCAATCGTCAGCGGCTCCTCCTCTTCTATACCAGGTGATGGTATGCGCTCCGTCCGATCTGAGACTGTCTTGGGTGAAACCGTCTTGTGTGGAACTGTCTTTTCTGGGATTGTCTTTCTGGACTGCTCGACGACGCCAACTCTTTTCTTGTAAGCCTTCCGCGCCGATGGAGATACCCACACGAGACCTTTCTCCTCGAGGAACTTCCTCCCGTGGCTGCTGTAGTGCTTCCACATCCCTGATTCAGTAACCTCAGTCTTCTGCTTTTTCGGATCTGCGCGTCCTTCTGCATATCCTTCTTCTACCCATTTGGTGCCGCACTGTTTCATCGAGATGCCTTCGACGTCGTACCATTGCACCAGTTGTATATACTTGGTGTCAACTACCTGAGAAGTCCAGTCTTCGATAGCTGCCAGGCCCTCTATGAAGGCTTTGATCTCTTCATCGCTAGGTATTTCTTTCGCAGCAACTTTGGCGTGCGCACCCAGTGAGTTCGACTTCGTTTTGCGCTTTTTCTTGGGCGGAGAGTTTGCGTCCTCGTTGTCATTAGGCCCGCTGGGCTCATCCGTGTTGGAAGCGGTATTTGTAGGTAGCAGTGGGGCGTCCGCGGCGACATATGGCTCATTCAACCGACGCTTCCGTGCTGTGGTTGACATCCGCGCTGAGGCGTCAACCTCTTCTGTAGGGTTATCTGTGGATGACATGATCACACTTGCAGACTCTTTCGGTTGAATTGATGTAGCGGCTTGCTGTCGTGTGTCTTCTGCGATGCTTGGATGTTGTGGAGCTCTTCTGTCGTCACCTACACCGGAGTGTTGCTGGTAGTAAATAGTAGGTTGAGGCAGGAGTATAAGTAGATTGGGCAAAAGCGCAGCGGGAGGATTAGGCTCGCGGACTTTGTAAGAGGCACGAGCGGAGCCCACCCGGTGAAAACCATTTTCAGTCAGTCTCGTGAGTGCATGGGCTCATAACAAGAGGCGTCAGTCAACAACGGCGTGTGCGATCTGATTGTGATCGGAAAAAAAGGAAGTGAAAGTAGGAGGCTTCAACTGGCTACGTGACAACAAGACGATAAGGGAATCTGGCCTAAGACGATCCCTCGCCCTTCTGCCTCATCCGCTCACCGCGGCGCCGATATGCTCTGGTCCGAACTTCCACGCCAAGAATCCCGGCAGGCTGACCTTCATTGCTTGTCGCTCGAGGCTTTCCAACTTTTGCTCAACTAAATCCGCCATTTCTGTCTCTCCCCTTTCATTCGCCCTCAGCCACTCGCCGTGCTTGGCCTTGATCGCGACCCGAAGGTGCTCAGGTATAACCGGTGGTGGAGTTGAATTGGGTGAATGACCGGGTTGTACTTGATTGGGAGTGCGAAGGGGGCGGGAGCTGGAACTGGATGCGCGAGGTGCTGAAGACATTCGAGAGGCGTTGCGGCTTTGGGCGGTCTTGACTACACAGCGAAAGATTAGTAGGTTGTTCCTCTTAGTCAAGTTGCCGATGACCGTGTAGAAGACGCACCCGGTTGCTTCGCGACCTTGCCCTGAGACCTCCGTCTTGCTGCTTCCCGTCGCTTTTCTTTCTGTCCTCGCGGCTGTCCTCGTACGTGTACAGCTCCATTCGCTACATCCAGATTTCGCGGATGCACAAACTTGAAGTCTTCGCCGCTTAATCCTCTTTTGATGAAGTCTTCCTTCTCAATCTTCGTGTAGAGTTCCCATGGTCTGATAGCGCCTTGCTCTTGATACCACACTGGGCCCCACCTCCTCACCTGATACGATATACCGTATTTGGTGCTGACGCTGCCATAGCCAGCGCCGTTGTACATGCCCACGACGTCTTTGTGTATGGCCATCGAAGATGCACCATTCGATGACTGCGAGGGCGCCGACCGGGACAGCGGAGCTAGTAGTCGTACTAAGAGGAGTAACGGGCGCATGCGCAAGTAAGGGTTGTGTAGACGACATACTGGCGGTTGGTTGGTTGTATGTCTAGTCATCTGGCAGGCGCGAGCGAAAGGGAAAATGCGGTAGGTGGCCAATCATGAAACAAACGAGTGCCCAGCTGCTCCAGATAAGGCAAGTGCGTCATATGCTCAGCTTTCACTTCAATTGCCCGTAGAGACTAGAAGCGCAGCGCGCAAATTGAATTCGCTATTGGCCCATGAGAGACATCACGCCTCCCAAGGCCTCTGACTTGTCACATGAAGACGCTGAGTCAAACTCATGAGCCACATCCCGTAAGACATGTAAACTACGCAAATTTACGCTCCTTCTTCAAGCCAGCAGCAAGCTGCAAAACTCAACGAAAAAGAACACTTCCCAGACTTGCCAATGCCAGCTCAGACTAATCTCCTCACTGCCAGCATCGAAGCCTATCTTCTGTATGCGCGCCGACCAGGTAATGAATTCGTCAACACCCCCGGCAAGTGTTGATATAGGCTCCTCAGGACCAAATGTACTGAGCTTGCTAGAGTGCGGAACACTGAAGTGTAAGACCGCCTCGCGCTCAGGGTAATGTCTGGAAAAAATTGCAGTGCTGAACATACAAGGAAACCAGCAACGGATACCACAAGGATTAGCCCGAAGGCCATACAAGGTTTGTTCAGTCGAATGACGCATGAAAGCGGTGTGTAAAGAGGCCTTGTTGTAGTTGAGTTGAGTGAGCTGCGAAATCTCGGTGTTGAGAAAGGGAGAGAAGGAATGGAGGGCGGATTTATATAGAGCCAGCGCAACGCTAGCTGGCGGTCAGTCCGTGCGTAGTTACCCAGCCCAGCCCTTCACTGAGAGTGACTGAAGTCTTAGTGACTTGACCAGAGTAGAAGCTTGTTTGGTGTCGAGAGATAGAGAATCTCTGAGTCACTTGACAGAATAGGTAATTCACCGTGGAATGGCGCGACCGATCGCGTCTCTTCTCCCACTTGCGCTGTCAACGTCGCAGTTTTTCACTTTCACTTTCACCAAAGACGCAATTATGCACGCTCACTACGAGTTTCTGGCTTGCAAGTCGGCCTTGGCGGTCGACTTCTTGAAGCTGGAGCTGATCGATTCAATTCACAACCCAATCTCGCCGTACAACCTCTACCTCTTTGCTACTATACCACAGTATAGTTTGCAGCATACGGTCACTCAGCATGGCAACCACGACACAACCTGATGTGGGCGAGGCGGAGAAGTACTTCTGGGAGTCGCTCCCTCCAGAGTTGCGACGCATGGTTTGCGACTACGTAAGTAATACTTGTCTCCCCTCGCAGTGCCTCAATACACCTGGACGACTACATCGATCTCGCCGGCGATCTTTTGAGCAGGTCTTAATCCTTGAAGTGTATCAGGATACGGCATTGCTACTCTTTCTGTGTCATGATGTGCTAACGTATGCTGCTATAGTTGCCCCAATACGCCATCTCTCGTCGGCTTCACGTGGCACTCCGGAATAGATGGGATGACGACGTTGCCCTTTTTGAGGAATATCTCTATAAAAAGCCATATCTACGCATCGAGTCTGCCACAGCGCATCGTTTCGAAGGCTTGTCAGCCGGGAGCCTCGCGAAGTTCCGGGATCTACTTGTGCACGTTACGCCTGAAGCAGGCCGAAGGTCGTTGAGAATCATGAAGAACCTCAACACTCTACTGGACACTCCTGGGACGAAACCGGAGCTTCGCACACTCGCTTTCACCAATGAGAGCCGGGTGACTGCGCAGACTGAAGCCCTCTGCCTAAGGCTTCTGCAGCGGTATCTTCCTAATCTCGATACCATATGTATACCAACATGGTACGATGGTGAGAAGTCGAGTGGGAACCTCTTTTGGGGATCATTGCCCCATCTTCTCCAGAAATGGGATTTCTTTCATCCCAAAAACGATGAGGAGTTGGAGGACATTGAACTCCACAATGAGGCAGCCGCAGGCGACTCCAAGGACTCGAGTGAGTTTGATCCATTGGTCCGAATACCAAAGCTTATCGAGACAACTGGAAGTCCGATAATGCTGTTCAAGTTGCGAAAAGAAAATGGCGAAGAGGTGGAAATCCTGGTCAACCGCGACGCCCCTGCTCATTATTGCAGGAGGTTGTTGAAAGAATGCAAAGGCAACAAAATTCTTTCGATTGTCATCGATAACGGTCGTGATGGGGACCCAGTACCGCTAATCCACATCATCAGGGGTATTGGCTGGCGAACCAGACTGAAATGTCTAGAGGAGCTCAGCGGCACACACGTCGATCTTGCGCAAATCGACGTCAAGAAACACTTCCTCGCCAAAGCCATGACGTCACTCCAGATCCGCGACTGCGCAGGGGTCAGCAGCTTCTTGAATCAATGCCATAGCGCATCAGTCGACCTTACATCTCTCATCTTCAAAGAGTCGGAACGCGAGATCGAGCAAGAGGAAGAGACGGCATTGTGCACCATCATAGAGTCTTGCAGCGATTTGCAGACCCTGTGCCTGATCTACGACAAGGCCAATCCGATCATCGAGGGTACCACCACACCAAGCTTCTGGGAAGGCAGCATTAGCAAGATTGACCAGCCCGATTACTGCCACTTTCCCCTGGCCACAATCCTCCCTAGTATTGGGCATTCATTGACATCTCTACATCTCGGAGCTGACCCAAGCCTTCGACTTCACACAAAGGATCTCGCTTTCATCGCTACCCAATGTACCAACCTCGCCAGCCTTGGTATCCCATTTCCCGCCTTGACCGAGGACATTACTCCTGACCAGTTCCGTCAAGGGATATCGGATCTCGGTGTTCTACGAGACCTACTACTCCTCCAGTATCTCCACCTGTCATGCCCGCCGACCGAGCCCGATGAAGACGGCGAGCTGCCACCCCCAGTCGAAGACATAGCAAGCTGCGCTCTGGAGATATTACTGAACAAGTGGATGTTGACTCACGTCAAATACTTCACTGTGGCCTTTCGCACAGCGACGTTTACCCGCGACACCTGCCATTTCCGGGTACTATCGTACACCAATAAGCTCGAACGCATCTCCGAGAAAAAGCTAGGAAGGAACATGGAAGCATTTGGTCACTTTGTACGAGGCGACTGGGACGAGATGGTGAGAAAGAAGACGGGACTTGAGCTGCCGCCAGCTGATGAGAACGACTCAAAGGATGAAGGTACGGAGGGATACATGGTAGACAGTGCACCGTACAGGCATTTTGACCCTTGGTCTACAGCTTCGCGCTGAGAGTGTTTGAGCCATTCAAAGCATCGTCGATGGCACGCATGGCCTGTACCAGCTTCTCTTCTTGTAATCTAGGTGCGACGACTTGTACACAAAGCGGCGTGCCAAGGTAGACCGAACGATCAGTGTTGGTCCCTGCAATTCGTGTTAGTATATGAGCGCTTCGGTGCTTCCAGCGAACCGAGGAAAATAACAATACTTACAAAGCTCCCTGTTTGCTTTGTCCCAACTTCCCAGTGGCTCCGTGCTCGCCATCTCTCCCTTCATATCTGCCTCTTCAAACGACCTTACTGGTACAGTACCGGCAGGGTAGTCTAACAGTACAAACGAACTTGTGTAGCTGACGCCGTTGTACCGGTCAATGGGCGGCACAGGGTGTGGCGCGACTGGGCAGATGAAGGCATCGATCTCGCCATGCGCATCTTTCCAGATGCTCAAAAAGTCCTTTCGCAGCTTCTCGCGCTTGCCATGGAATTGCTGAACTTTGGGAAGGTCCATCGGCTTCTTGCGCTTGAGTCGAGTGGATAGCCATGGCGAAAGTGGCTCGCTGAACGATTCCAGCAAGTCAAACATGGCGTTGCCACCTTCAACACCAAACAGCGCATTGGCGAGGGACTGACATTGAGAAAAGAGAGGAGTGATGTCCATCTCAACTGCCTCGATACCAGACTTTTGCAGTTTAGCTTTGACTTCATCTAAGATGCTGGAGATTGGTGGATGTGGCTCAATGACTCCATCCCGCCGGACGATGCCGATCCGTAGCTTCTTTCGCGTAGTTGACAGGAACTTCCATGGCGATGGTATGACATCTGGATCCATATTCCACGGCTGCTGGGATGCGACTGCGCTGAAGAAGAGTTCGATGTCGCGCATGGTGTGCGCGAGCGGCCCTGCACTCGCCGGGATACCAACTTTTGTTGCTCCAGGAAGCATACCGCCCTCTTGACCTGCGTATGGGATACGTTCCCAGCTGGGCTTGATGCCGAACATACCATCGCACATGGCCGGGATCCTGATGCTGCCGCCCACATCTGTGCCTACACCCAAGATTGAGCCGCGCATCGCGATGAGAGCGCCCTCTCCACCTGAGCTTCCACCAGCGGTCACAGCAGTGTTGAGCGGATTAATAGTTCGCCCGAAGACGTTGTTGTGGGAGTCGAGTGCCATGAGCGTTTGAGGTACGTTGGTCTTGCAATAGAGAACTGCACCGGCGTTGAGTAAGCAATCGACTAGGATCGAGTTCTCTTGTGCCGGTTTGAAGCAGAGAGCTGCAAGACCGATCGATGCATCATGACCTCGGACCCTGAAGGTGTCTTTCAGTGAGATGGGAACGCCGTGGAGTGGCCCAAGGGGTGCTTTTCCTGATGCGAGATGGGCGTCAAGCTCCTCGGCTCTCTTCAGCGCGTCATCAAAGAAGACTTCTGTGAGGCAATTGGTGACTTGGTGGGCAATTGCTGCTCTCTGCCATGACGTTAGTACATCAGCGGCTACGAAGAGGTCTGCTCCGATCTGGGACGGCTCACTTTACAGAAAGCCCGTGTCACATCGATGCATTTGAGTTTCTTCTCTCTGATTGCTTCGGCCAGTGCGACAGCATCATATCGTTCGGTGATGTCCAGCTCCTCTTTTGTCAATAGCCCAGACTTGCGTGGTATGTCCATGTAGCTCTTTACGTCGGCTCCCGGTAAGGCATTCAACTTCCATTCTTTTGGAATGCGCTTGTTCTCTTCTGCTTTCTTCCGCCTCGATATGGACCGCCAATCTTTGTCTGAAGATGAGCCTCCTTGCGACATTGTGATGTATGCGACGGTTGAGGAGTGACGCTGTGATATCGCGGACATAGAGGACGCGCGAGTAGAAGCCGAGGTATACTGGATTGGGATTAGCTTGAGGGGTAGGGGCCCGGGGACGTCGACACCTCCAGGGCTGCCCAGGTGGTCAACTCGCTTTCGCAACGCCGTGGACGCGCGAGCAAATAAAGCTAGGCTAAAGCAACGCCTGTCGCTGTACGTTCTACCGAACCTCCCACTCATTACTCGCCTTACGCACCTTGGGGCATACATGCGCTTAGATATGTCCATCTTTGCTCCTTTTTCGCGCCACTTCCGACTTCAGCACGAGTTGTCGCAACGGACAGCCTCTGCGTTGAAAAGTCTTGTTATCCAGAGACGAGAGCTCGAGCGCGCAAGGTGCAGGCTGGAGTGCCTATCCGAGACTGCAGGACGCCTCTTCGCGCTAGGGAAATGAGCGTACCGTACCTGGCGTACCGAGAGGATGCGATAAGGGCTCAGTCTCGAAGAGCCACGAACAGCCTCAAACAACGACTATGAAGGCATCGGTACAGCCGCCGGAGTACTTCAGAAAGGTCACATGTCTACGTGTTCGGCCTGACTTTAGTTGCTGACATCTGACATGACGGGGAGTCGCGGTCGCGCTTCTTATCCCTGCCGCTGACAGCCAGGGCGCGCCGCAAGCGCTGTCCCAATTGGATGGCGTCTCCTGCCCCGGAATGTTTTCCCACTCGGCCTGCCATCTGGCACCACGACGCACGCCGTGCCCCCATTGCTAGTAGCCCGCCCATAGACACCGCACTCGCTCTTGTACTCCTTTCCCTTCTCTACCTCTGCACCACTTGCATTACATTTTTTTTGTTAAATTCGATATCCGCATCCTTCGCTATGGCAGCCGGCAACTTCTCGCTGCCCCCGGGCCAGCACCCTTACTACCCCATTGAGAAGGAGATTGTGGGCTATCTGGCCAACGAACTGGGCACGCTGGACCTGCTGCTCATGTTCGCTGCCGGCTGCGTCGCCATCTTCAGTGTCACGTACGTGATGGTCAAGCGCCTGCGCCCCAATGCCAGCACCGGCGACCTCTCCACCATCATGTGGTTTGTGCTGTGCGGCTGCATCCACTCGTTCTTCGAGGGCTACTTCGCCTACAACTTTAGGAATATGGGCGGATTGAACGACCTCTTTGGCCAGCTGTGGAAGGAGTACGCGCTCAGCGACTCGCGTTACCTGACCCAGGACGCCTTCGTTCTGTGCATGGAGACCGTCACCGCTGTACGTATACGTCTTGTTTGGGCTTCTCTCGAGGAAGGACAGCCACTAATCAACATTCTCACAGGTATTCTGGGGCCCCGGTTCCTTCCTCTGCGCGTACCTCATCGCCATCGACCACCCGCTTCGCTACTCGGCCCAACTCATCGTCTCGCTCGGCCAGTTCTACGGCGACGTACTGTACTATGCTACCTCGCTTTTCGACCACTACATCCTCAACCTGTCGTACTCGCGTCCTGAGCAGTTCTACTACTGGGGATACTTTGTCCTGATGAACGCTTTCTGGATTGTGATCCCAGGATACCTCATGTACCAGAGTGTCATGGCCACTTGGAGCGCGTTTGCGGCTGTCAACGACGCGGCGAAGCTCGTTGAGAAAATCGGCAAGAAGCGCAACTAGAAGGATGTTCCATGCATCAGACGCATACAAGCAGTGCCTCTGAGGAGGACACCAATACCGCTAGAGTGGAGGAGTGACTTGGCCAAGGACATCATTTTTACGGGTTGATTGTTGGGATGGGTTGAAAAAGCATTTTGGATACAGACACGGTACTTGATACCCTAGTTTTGAAGGCGTGGCTTGGACAGGACGCCCTAGATCGATAGACTCGGATAATGCTAATAGAAGATTATGGCAAGTAGATGCAGCTTCAGAACTCCTTTACAACGTATGTTCCCGGAAACTTAGCAAGTAACGCCGGGATTGCCGATCACCCATGTTAGTGTAAACCCTATTGTCGGCATTTTTCGCGTCGTAAGCTCGATCCTTGCCGCCCATCACAAACAGGCCGAGCAGTACATAAGCACTTGGAGAAGTTCCCGGCATCTTTACGTGGGCTAGAACTCTTGACACAAACAACCATGTATCTGTCGACTACTTCCCTCGCACACTGGTGTCTTTTTGCCCTATCGGCGACAGCTCTTCCCAACGCCGTAAATCATGCGTCTCCTCCCATCTCCATTCAGATGGCCCAGTCGATCATCTCCCGGAGCCAGGGTATCCTGATCAGCCAGACCGACTCCTCTGCCCTATTGCAGGCTGGATTTACGCAGAAGACGTTCCACGAGATCCTCTCCACTTATGCAAACAGTTCCTTGGCCCCAGCACTTAACGCCTACATTACTAAGAGCGCCGACTCTGTGGTACCTGTCGTCTCCAACGCAACGCGCGACACGAAATACCCATTGGACCGTCTGAGCAGCGGAAACGGTCTACTACGATTATGGCAGGAAACCGGGGATGAAAAGTACAAAACAGCATTCGAAGCATTGAGAAAGAGTGTGGATTTGCAGCCTAGAAATGACCAAGGCGGGTTATGGTATTATGTCTACCCGTACTGGAGTTACCTGGATGGCATGTTTAGTCTGACTCCGTTCCTCGCCGCATACACAAACGATGTTGGTAACTCTGCCATGACTGAAGATACGCTAGAAGACATGGTCTTCCAACTCGATCTGCTATGGCAGCGCTGTTACTCGCAAGAAACAGGTCTCCTAGTACACGGTTACGATGCCAGCCACACAGCAGTCTGGGCCAATAGCGCTACAGGCGCCAGCCCGCACGTGTGGGGACGCAGTCTGGGATGGTACTGTATGGCACTCATCGATACGCTCGAATTGCTCCCCGCGAATGCAAGCCACGCACGCCAGTACATCGGATCTCGGTTCCAACAACTCATGCCCGCTATCGTGGCAGCCGCAGATGGAAAGACTGGGGCGTGGTGGTAGGACATGTCCCTGTACGAACTGCATATGAGACATTGACTGACTTCGTACACTCACCTCTTAGGCAGGTAATGGACCGACCTGGCGAAGAAGGCAACTACTTGGAGAGTAGTGCAAGCAGTATGTTTGTGTACTCTTTGCTCAAGGGTGTAAGATTGGGGGCTCTATCCACGAATGCAGCATGGAATGGCACTGCTTCATACAGCAGCAACCAGAATGCGTACGTAGATGTAGCGAAGAGAGCGTACGAGTACATCGCCGAGACATTTGTCGTCCATAATGGGAACGGGACGCTAGGCTGGAACGGCACGGTCGGGGTATGCAGTCTGAACTCGACGGCTAGCTATGAGGTGAGTAATGGAAGGGTGCAGCAGAGTGTGTCAATGCTAACGGGATATGTCAGTATTATGTGGGACAACCGATTGTCTACAACAGTCCTCTGGGGTCGTTGGCCTTTGTGAGGGCAAGTTTGGAGGTTGAAAGATGGGCCCTACAAGGTTGAGAGGTGGTATGGGAGACACGTTGTCTTGGCGCGTACCAAGGCGGCCGTCTGCGGTCAGAAAAAGCAGACACAGGAGGCTAAAATAAACCATGAGATAATTCCACATTAAAATCTCCGCAACAAGCGCACTGAGTGGTGCGATAGCCTCGAAGCATTCGGCAGCGGGCAAATACAAAACCTGTTGTTGCCGTTTTCCATGCATCGTACCATCAAGGATGTCTGTTGAATAAGATGGCGGGGTTAGATCACAGGCCGCGGAGCATATCATCGCACTTTGTTGTGCGCATCTTCGATGCAGTCGTAATGCCAGTAATGCCAGCAAAGCTGCAGCATGGGTTTGTTGATCGAATCGTGGGTCGACGTGGTGCACTGGTCTGTAGGCGAGCCTGTCTCTCATGGATGTTCCCGCGGGATAGCCCAACGTGACTGGGCTGCGAGATAGCAAGCTGGGAATGTCTCAGCCGCCGTGTAAACAAGAGGCTGGAAGGACTCGGACTCGAGCGTGTCTAGATGCCGGCGCTGCATGGCAAGTTTATGCTGATCTCGCACAAGCTCATGGGCTTATCGTATTGCTTGTCGGCGGCACTGGAACGTGCGGGCAGACTTGGCCAGTCCGGTTTTACTGGCGGGCCGCAGCCATTATTGGGTCATCAAACATCACACCGTCCCTCTAGCAGTTCGCTCGCCCTGCGCTACATTCAACGTTCCCCTCTGATGGGGTGACAGCTCTCACCACACTCACCTATACACTCGCTGTCCAAAACGTTGATCCCGCAGCCGCCCGCACAGAGGCAGCTCCGGCGTAGCTCTGGAAACGGCCCGTCAGCCACGCCCACGCAAAACACCACAACACTCGCACCCGCCCGTCGCAAGCCGCCCCGTCCCCGTGACGTCTGCCCGCAGCTCCAATGACACTGGGACTCGATGCCCGCTTCCCCCCGGCCCAGTGACCCCGACAACACGGCTGGACAGCAGAGAAATGGCACGCCGGGCAAGAAGATGGGCGCGACGGACAAACAAGCAGCCATGGACGGCAAGGACTTTGCCAAGGCCATTGGCATCAACAAGCCCGCCAACGTGCGCGACAAGATAAAGCGCTGGCAGCAGGAGGTCGACCCCGACGCCGCGAGCAAGGAAGGCGCCGGCGCATCCGCCTCAGAGGCCTCCACCAAGCCCGCCGCCTCGCCCAAGCCCGCGACCACGCCCAAGTCGAAACCCCACGACGACAAGCCCAACTGGAAACCCACACATGAGCGCGGGAAGTCGGTCGGCGCCAGCCCAGAGCGCCCGGGCAGCGCGAAGAAGACGCCTGTCCCCCACAATGAACTCGACGAGGACCTGCTCACGGCGACAGCGCCAAAGAAGCGCGTCATCAGCGACTCGCACTGGCGCGCCAAAATGTCACCGCCGAAAGAAGCCGCCGGTCGCCCACAGCCAAAGACGATCCCCAACGCCTGGGTGCGCCCCTCGAGGATCATCCCCAAGAAGCCCGCAAGCCCTGAGCTCAAGCCCATAGCCCCCGTTACGCCCCAGTCAAACCCTCTCTTGCCCCTCGCGGAGTACATAGGCAAGAGCACAGGACAGAAGAAAGCCCCGCCGAAGCCACGCAGACCATCGAAACCGTCGAGCTCAGAGAACGAACAACGCCCGGCGAGCAGTGGGGCTGGAAGTGGAAAGACCGCCAAGAGCGATGAGACGCCATCCGATCCTACTTCGCCCCAGCCCGAGAAAGAGAAGACGGAGATGGTGAGGATGCGGCGTAGCAGACGGCGCGCGCGCACATCACCCCGCGCATCCATGTCGGCAGAGGATCTTATGCCCTTCACGCCATGGACTCGGCCCCCAGGACGCCGCTCGGGCTCAGTACAGAGCGACGACCCCCACAATATGGTCACGGTCGAGTACGCAGAGAGCTCTGCCCCATCGCTCAACGAGAGCCGCATCACGTCACCCCGGGACGACGAGCTGCGAGAGAGACGGCGCCGGCGTCGACCAAGAAGCAACGGTGCTCGCACAGAGGACGAGAGCACCAAGCCCGCGCCAAAGCCTTCGCGGAAGAAGAGTCGCAGGTCCTACCCAAGGACCCAGGAAGAAGCTGCAACACCCTTGATCATCCCAGCAGCCCCAGAGACGACCACTCCCACCAAGGCCACGGGAAGCCGCTTAGAAGCCTGGCTCAGCAGCACGCCCGACCCTCTGGCAGAGTCGAAACCCCGACGCAGACGCAAGTCCAAGGACTCTGTGTCGAGCCCAGAGTCCGCCTCCAAGGCCGGCAAATCAGACGTCACAGCATCGACCGATGCCACACAAGAGATCCCAGTCAAGAAGACGCGCTCGCGCCGCAGGCGGAAGTCCAAAGAATCCGTATCCTCCCTCGACTTGCCCGCTACCGTCGATGCTTCCGAAGTCACTGCCTCAGAGGTCACTACCTCCACCAGGACGACACAAGATGAGCCACGCAAGAGGTCACCAAGGAGGAGAAAATCGAAAGAGTCAGTCTCGTCTGTCGATTTGCCCTACAAGGCCGAAAAATCAGACGTCAGCGCGTCCACTGATGCGACAAAAGACGACCCTGTCGAAAGCCGCCGTAGCAGTGGTAGCGGTAGCAGACGGCGCAGAAGACGGTCGAGCCGCGAGATGACCATCAATACCCAGGATATCGACGAGACCCCATCTACTGTCGTCTCGGATACTACGACAGAGACGACAACCCAAGACCAGGAAAGTGAAGTGTCCGTCACTCCGACGCCCTCGCTGAAGCGCCGCGGTGCAAAGCGCGGCCAGTATTCTCCTACCAAAGGCCGATCTATGTCCTCTCCTCTCCGCGAGACCACGTCGATAGACGACATACCCAAGGATGATATCACCGACTTGGACACTGCTTCGTCCGCCCCTTCTTCCTTTGCTGATGCGCCTGTACTTGACGCCATGCCTAAGCCTCTGCGACCGCGACAACTTCTAGGACCGCGTATGTTCCCTTCGACTGGCAAGCGCCTTTCAACCATTGCTTCGCAGTCAGCGCGATCCTCGCAGGTACCAGCTTCTGATACAATCACGACTATCTCCGAGGAAGCAGGCACTGGTCCTGGAGCACCTGCATCAGAAGTAGGCTCGTACTTGAACCCGGAAACTTCGACCATTATCAGTCGCCAGAGTACCCGGCGGAGGAAGCTTGCCAGACATGAGGATCTTATCTCAGTGCTTTCCATGCCCAAGGCAAGCTCGAAGAGCATCATCTCTGCCAGAAGTATCCGTACCAACAGGAGCCGCCTTGCCACTGCCACTGTCGACGACATCATGAAAGAGCTCTCCTCTGACGAAGCCAAATATATGAGAGAGCTCCGCACACTGGTCGACGGTGTTATCCCTGTCCTTCTTAGCTGCGTTCTTTCCAAGTCCGAGTCCGCTATCGCTGCTGGCCTGTTCTCTCGCTCCTCCAAGTCCGATCCTAGTGAAGTTACTAAGCCAATCGTCGACATGGGTGTCTGCTTAGAGCGACTTAAGAACCTGCACAAGCGCGTCCCTAGGGAGGACTCCGATGCACTTGTTTCCTGGGCTCAGAGTGCACAACGAGTGTACTCTGACTACATCGCTGCGTGGCGCCTCGGCTTCCAAGACGTCGTAATCAGTCTCGCGCCGGCAGATGACGATCCGTTCAAGCCCGCAAAGGTCGTCAATGGGCCAGATGACGGTGCCCCATGGGACGAAGGCATGCCGCGAAACGCTGAGGGATATGTAGTCAACAGCGATGGCGAGCGTGTTGACGTCGCCTATATGCTCAAACGCCCACTGGTTCGACTCAAGTATCTGTCGAAGAGTTTGAAGGTACGTTGAATTGACTTGTCCATGCTGCCGCAAATACTGACATCAATCAAGGGCATCAATCATGTGAAACCTTCCGAGCGCGTCGAGCAAATCTCGAAGATTTTCCAAGACCTAGTTACGACAGCACGCAAGCGGTCGAACGACGAACAAGCCCGCCTCGAAGACGAAGCCGCGGCTAGCGTTGATCCCACTCGCGCACGCGATCCCCGAAGTCTCGCCCCACTTGCCGGCGTCCGGGTTGATTCCACGCGCTGCGTGCGAGCTAGAGACCACTTCGACCTACATCTGTTCCATTCGAGTGGTCAAGAAATGAGTTGTCGCGTTGAGATATTACTCCGCGACAACGCACCAGGTACGGGAGTCGGAGGCGACCTCCTCTTCTGCGAAGTCGATCCTACAGGGCGATGGTTGCTCCTCCCACCTGTCCACCTCAGCAATGCATCAGCACGGAATGGCGACCTAAAGGGCGAAATAATTGTCATGATCCGTGGAAAACAAAACGATGGATCAGAGTGGAGCGAGATCATGTCTTTGATATCCGATGATGAGCAAGCTGGCTTTGAGTGGGTGCAGATGCTCGGTCTCAACCCCATCCCACCTCAAATCTCTGAAGTCAGGAAGAACCAGGCCACACCCACCACACACAGGCCGACAAGCAGCCATGGATCCTCGTCTCTACTTTCAGCTGCAACTGAATCGACACCCCCACAGAAGAGCAGGACACCAAGCCCACATGAAATTGACATACCTATTGGGGAGCAACATACTGAAGTATCAAAAGTATGGCACTATGACACACCCGATAGGCGCAACCAATCACGCACCATCTCGCCTGTAACTCCGCCCAGTCACGATGACTTTGTCTTTGGCAAAATAGACGACTCAGAACCCCATACGCCCACAGATCCCATGCAGACGGCATACCAACTGCTCAACGATCCTGATCGAACACCCCGTGGTCTTGATGAGGCGGTGCGAAATGAGGGCACTGGATCGCCTTCGAGTCTGAAGCGGACAAGGGCGAAGAGGCTGTCTAAGAACCCTACCCTTTCTCCACATTCAGCACGGCCGTCCCGTCAGATCACTCTCGAAGATCCGGTAGAGCCAGAGAAAATTCAGGCGCCAGTACCGGAGTCCAAGCCACGCCGGAAATCCACTAAAAAGCGACCCCAAAAGAGTTACAGTGTTTGGATGCCATCTTCGCAAGTTGGCGATTCCGACGACTCTGAAGAATCGTACAGCTCCGAAGAAGACAACAATACTACCACCATGGATTCCGAGATCTCACCACCCGGCTCGCCTCCCTCGCCGCAACGTCCACAGGCACACAGACGAGTCTCATCTGTCCCCTCGCTAGAATTACCGAGCATCCCAAGACAAAGGAAATCAAGCCGGCCCTCTACGCCAACGCAGGATCAAGAAGATGACGATGACAACTTCCGGGAAGTCTCAGCCTCCGCGCCATCGAAGCTGCAAGGAAAGAAACACGACATAATTGTCGATGATATCGTAGAGCCCAAAGCGGAGGTCGAAGAGCCGCCTCCAACACCGCCGCATCGATCGCCCAGTCCAGCAACCCCTGTGACACTCAAGGGAAGTAAAACACCAGTATTCACTCCTACGCTGCCTGGTTTCAAGAACAAACGCCGGTCATCGTCACCCTTGAAGCATGAGTATGAGCCATCTACCTGCACAGAGGAGTCAAGCGAGAGCGAGGAGGACACTGCTTCTGAGGATGAGGTGGACGATGAAGATGAAGAAAGCCTCACCTCGGAGTCGTCAGAAGACGAGTTAGATGACGACGTTCCCATGCCACTTATGCCGATCGGATACCTTGGGCCACGCGGGTACCCTGGACGCTCATACACCACCGGTAGAGAAGCCAGTCGTCCCACTTCATCAGAGAAGGTTGAGAAGGTAGAGGAGGAGACCAAGAAGTTTCCCAAAGTCTCACCTCCTGCATCAATCTACACCCTCCCCAACGGCACTATCACCCCATCACAATCCGCGTCGAACACTCCATACAGAGCAGTTCCGCAGGGTTCCGGCAAAGCCTCCAAGACCATCGCATCCATCTTCGCTTGGTCCGATGCTGGCCGATGGGACAGTTTGCATCCAGACGAATGTAGCATCGTCGTTACGCCAGGTAAGATCGAGGTCTTCGAGATCACAATCAATCACTCCAAGCCTTTCCTGGCCGACGGCGACGAGATCATCACTCCCGAGGGAGGTGCTCCCCTTATTGCGGTTGAGCTTACCCCTCTGGTGCCGTTGCGAAAATCAACGGCCATTGATATCTCCATTCGCTCCCCACCCACCGCAGAGTCGCGCATCAAAGCTGGCAATAACATTATGTTGAGAAGTCGCAATGCAGCGGAGTGCGCCCAACTATACGCCATGATCAACCAGTCTCGTATCAACAACCCCACCTACATCGCGCTCCAGAACGCGCGCGGCCCCTACGGACAATCGAGCTGGGCCGAGGCGATGGACCGTCAGAACGCGGCTAGGACAAGCGCTGAGTCTTCTGGCTGGCTCGGAGGTACGCTAGGTAGGAGAAGCAGCTACCGCAAGTCAAGCACACGCGCTGCCTCTATCTCCGCAGCGACTGAGTCTTCTGTTGGAACCATGAACTCTGCTCTCCGCTCTGCACTAGGCCGATTCTCGTTCGGAAAGAGCGGCGTCTTTAGCATCCGCAACTCAACACTCGGATCCCGCAGTACTGGCTCCTCATTCGACAGCGGTTCCAACTCCCCACGCGGCTCAGGCGCATCTACACCTACCGGCGATATTGTACGCGCGCCCGGTGCACCAGCTGGAATTACGAACACGAAGTGCAGGCTTTATGAGCGAGAGTCACTCAAGAAATGGCGCGATATGGGCAGCGCACGCTTAACAATAATGCTGCCGTCACCCAACCCAAGCGTGCCATCCTCGCCTACGAACCCACGACAGCGCGCACCTGGTACCAGAGATCATACCCAGGAGCGACGTATTCTCCTTACAGGCAAGAAACACGGTGAAATACTACTTGACGTCACTCTGTCCGAGACGTGCTTCGAGCGCGTCGCACGCAGTGGTATTGCTGTCAGCGTATGGGAAGACCACTTGAATGAAGACGGTCAGGTCGGCGGCGTCGGCAAGACGGGTGGTGTCTTGGGCGCAAGAGCAAGAGTCTTCATGGTGCAAATGAAGAGTGAGAGGGAGTGTGCTTACTGCTTCAGTTTACTGGGTAAGCTGAGGTACTAGGCCACGAGTAAGGAAAGAGAAGAGAGGGACATGGACCGAAACGGCAAGCGCATCACAGCAACTCACAACACGCCGCTACTGCCTCTGTTGCGCACTGCATATTGTCACCACCATCGATTTTGCGTTTTCATACTGCGAGCAAGCGTGGCGTTTGTTCATGGGATTTACACGGGCGGTATTTCAAGAAGGCTTCTGTGATACCACTTCCACATTCCCCACATACAATTTTTCACTTTGTAATCACGCTATTGTGTTTCTTACTTTCCTTGTCAATACTGGTTTTCATGCATATGGATGGAGTGTGTCTGTTCTTGTTTTCCATGGGGAATATACACGTGTCTTTTGCGCTCGATACCAGGTGTGTATTTGTTTGATGGTTCTTGGTCTTTTGGTAGTGGGATGAGGAGGGGTGTGTGTGTGATGAACGAAGCTGTGATAGTGGGTGTGAGGTGAATAGAATTAATGGAAGATGTGTCGGCAACTTAAAATTTCCGTGCTGAGCTGACGGATACGTGTCATTACGATGACTCCACTATGATGGCATACATCTTCTTGGCGAATACATGTCGTTACGAGGGTTATAACTATCACGACAAACATCCAACTGCCGTTTATATGACCTTCAGTACTTCGGCCTCGCCCACCGCGCCGTCTTCGTATCCACGAGGCCCTCGTATGTACACTCCTTTGTGTCACCATACAGCTCCATGTCGACCCCAAGCTCCTTCGCCCACACAAGCTCCGACTGCTTTGAGTCATCCCTGTTGACCTTCAGGTGCACAGCCACAGGTTCCGACTTCCCTCCAGCGTGCTCGACGAAGTCCCTTACCGTGATGGAGAGGTACTTGAGTCCTCTACACTCACTTGAGACGATAGCGAGGACTTCGTACGCAACACGCTGGAGTGCCGTGCTGATGGCCTTGGTGCCCATCCTAGGCTCTGTCCCCAGATTTGCGACAAACAAATGCAGGTATTCGAGTCCATAGATAGTGGAGAGAATTGTTGTTTGTTCACCAACATCTCTCCACATATCGTCACTCAAGTGACCTACTTCAATCGCATCCCAGAGCACTGGGCATGGAATGCCAACGTGTCTTAGATCTGGGAAGTACTGACCCAGGAGTTGTAGTTCCTGGTCAGGAACTTCTGACCTCTCTCCAATGCGCAGGGAAATTGTCTTCAGCATTGGCGGCGACTTGCGCAGCAGGTGCCCGATGCCATACACCTCGCTTTGTCGAGCCTTCTTTCGCTCTTTCCTCGATACAGCCTTTGTTTGGCCATTGGCATCAGGAGCGCTGAGCGCAGTTTTGACTTGCTCGTCCGAATTGTCTCTTCGCGCGTGGAAGCAGAAGTGCTCCAATTTGCTGCAATGTCTTGTCACATTGCGAAAGACTCCATCCCGTACTTCTGGGTTCAGTTTTGGGTACTCCCGTAGGTAGATAAACGTGTGTAGATCAGAGTTTCTGAAGGCATCGACGCTTGTGAATTGGCTTAAGCCAGGGCAGTTGTACAGTCGTAAGAGGCCGATTTTGTTGACAAGATAGGCATGTTGTGGAACGTAGCCCGTTTTGAGAAGAAGATTGACTTCGGCCACTCGAAGTTCTTCCAGAATGATGCCATTGGGCATTTGCTTGAAGAGTCGCGTCAGCACGTCGTCCATGAGAGTGTTGTCCTTATGGTTGTCGTTGATGATCGACACAGAACGGACTCGGTACTGGTGCTTGCTGCTAATCATGCCGCGGACAATTTCTGCGGGGGCGTAAGGGGCGACGATGAGGTCGAGGGTTCGATCTTTCAGATCATCGAACAAGGTACTAGATACGATCCGAATGAGGCTGATGCACAAGCCAAAATGACCAGTCAGCTCTCGGATTTGAGGAGGTGCGTCTTTGGGTAGGTAGTAGCCTTTGGGCGCCCGCTGCATTGGTCCATATATGGTTTGACGTGTGACGGAGGTATTGTGGAACTTGATTGTGCGGCGCTCATACTGGTCTCGTGTGTCGAGGAATGTCCAAAGGCGGTGCATGAATGCTTCGTGGCTGGGAATGCGGGCGAGGTTTCCAATGTGGAAAGTGGGAACCATGAGGAGCTCTGGTTTTGGTAGATGCTGATATGTGTGTAGCACCTGGTCCACAGTGCCTGAAACCACGACGCTGTTTGGACTGAACATGACCGCCTTGACTGGAGTCGGCTTGAGAGCGATCAGGAGGCTGTTCATCTGCCACCCAAGCTCCTCAGATACGTCGAAGCTGATCGCGTGGAAGTTGTATGGATGGTTAAGTAAGGCGCTTGGCTGCTGTATAAAGCTCGGGCGCTTCCTCGTGAGGCGCATCTCGACATGTCTAACGAAAAGTCTCTGTAGCTTCCTAGTGGCTCCTTTGCGCTGCCTTCTGGTGGATTGCAACAACAGTATATACAAGTCGCGTTGAGAGAGCTGTCAAAAGTTAGTCGAGGGCGCTACAGGAGTCGAGTACTACACGTACATGTTGGCAAACAAGCTGCATCAGCTCTTCAGGTAGGGTCCAAAAGTCGCCTTTGCTAGGCTTCCCTTTAGTGACACCGGCGGTCGGGCGCAAGCGCTTTGGGGGGTGAGGCTCGTCGGAGTCGTGTGTATGTTGAGTCTTCCGCTTCTCAGGCCGCAGGGGACTGGCGTGCTCGATCGGAGGTGCGATTGTGGAGCGCTCATTGTGGTCCGCGGGGAATTCAGACATGGTGATCGTCGAGCTGGGGAGTGCTCTGCTTTTTGGAGGCGTCGTGTGTGGATGGGAACGAGTGAGAAGTGGAGAGTGCGCCACGGGGTACACGTGGGTGACTGTGAGGGATAGTAGATTGCCGCGTTGCAAGTTGCGGCTCGCTCGAGACCCAGATAGGAAAGCGACATTTTTGCAGTGAATGAGCGTATATTAGTGAAAGTGAAGCGGTGAAAGTCACCCCGCCGTTATACCGACATCCAGACACTGGCGGTGGAATGAGCGGGCTCTCTTAGTGGTCTCGACGTATCACATAGACTTTGAGGAACCTAGGAGCACGAGGCGGCGGTTTGACTGGAGTGTACTATAGGACTAGATCTATGGGTAGGACATTCACGAGAGAACATGGTATCTGCATTCGAGCCATTATGGAAGGTTGCCTCTAAAGACGCGATATAGGTCAAAGTAGAAGCATTGAAGGATGGAAAGCATGATGGCGGTGGGGTTCACGAAGATGGAGGGGTATGAGAACTTGTGAAAGAACGAAAGTCACGCCGTTGCTGGATCAAGACGCTTGGCATGTTACCATCTAACGTGACTTCACGCTTGCGTGCAAACATAATCGTGTCCCTTCTCGTTTCCCTTCTTCAGCCCAGCAGCATGCCGCAAAAGCAAACGAAAAGAATGTGTAGCAGAATTGCGATGAAACCCATTTATACATCGAGAAACGGAGGGATAGGCTCGGTCTTGCACCTCATTGCAGTATCCGTCCGTTCCTATCACAAGAGGCGCCGGCTGGAGGTCGACTTATCAGTACTGCCATACGACTTGATCCATACTGATAATTTCGTCAGTACTCCCAGCACAGTACTGATATAGGCTCCTCAGAACCAGCGGCAGGGGTCGGCTGGCCGGTAAGCAGCATGCTAAGCACGGCTTTCGGCGCAGGGTGTGGACAAGCCGGACACCAATCTCTAGGTTGGTGAAAGACGTTGCCTCGGAGCCATGAGGATCAGCCCGAAGGCCATACAAGGTTGAAGGTAGGTAGCCGCCGAATCAGCGAAAGATGTAGAAGAGGTCCGCACGAACGCGAAACCGAAGAGAAAACCTTGTGAAAAATGCCGCATGAGGAAGGAAGGATGAGGTGGCTACCCTCCTTGTTCCAAGATACAGAACAGAACAGCTTGAGGAACCCTACGGCAGATCGCAATGCCTGAGTACGGGAAGTCGCCATACCACAGGTATTGCTACTGTGCAGTCGAGATGCTGAAGCAGAAGTGTTGCGCATGTTGCAAAAAGGAGAGTAAGTGTAGTTCAATTTGATATGATGCGCGCGAGCGCGGAGCAAGAAAGGGCTTGGTGTACATTCCGCGAAATTCGCGAGTTGAGAATCGGAGTCAGTAAATGGTGGTGGAGAGAGAGAGGAGAGGGAGGGCAGACTACTTAAGACTGCGGGCAGGTGCGGGCGGGCTAAGGAGCGCACGGGCCACGTGTTTGCTCGAACCTGCCACCCTGCCTAGTCGTGAATTCACCGAGATATTTATACGCTCATCTTCACCTGCTATGCACCGCCTTAGCCTGTCGCTAAGCTCGGGCGCAAGCGATATGACGCATCCTTCATTGTACTGAGATGTGTGCTAGAAGAGACCGATGTTCTTTCACTTCAAGTTGTGTCACAGGTTGTAGTGAGATTATGATGTGATCGCGGCGTGATATGAATCATTTCTCTTCTCTCGTCATCTACTCCAGATCTTTGTCCTTGCAGCCTTCCGGTGCGATAAGAGGATTGCATCTCGCAGCCAATCCTCCGGGAAGCCTGGCGACATAATCCCAACCCCATCGACTGCTCATGCCCCAAGCCGGGAAATCGGTACTAACAATTTGCGCACCACTCTCAAAAGCCAAATCCCTCATCTCTGTAGTGCGGTTCAAGATGGTATCGATGGGTATATCAGCACGTGTTCGGATCAAGTAGCCCTTCTTGACAAGACGCTGGATCTCTGCTATGCCGTTGGCGCGCGGCTCATTGTATTTGATGAATGCAGCATCGGAAGATCCTTCGAGCGCATTGGTGAAGACAGTGCGGTTTTGTAGCGAGGGGGCGCCGGTTTTGTAGAGCTCGCGAGGCGAGTTGGGGTCACTGGGTTTCGGGTCGTTATCGAAGAAAAACAGAAGGCGGCCGCGAACGTCCTTCAGCTTCGGCCAGCCTTGTTGCAGGATGGTTTGCTCGAGGGTGAGGCCACTCTTGCGCACGTCGTCGGGGCGGATGAGTTGCTTCTTAGGGAATACGGAGAGGATCTCCGCGTCGACGTTCAAGAGGCGAGGGAGCGTCCAGTTTGTCGCTTCGCCAGGGCAGACACCGCCTAACGAACATGCCGGCGCATCGGTCTTGAGCTCGAGATCAATAGTGATAGGGACGTGTCTCGGATTTGCGTCTGACCAACTCTTCAACTGCTTGAGACAGTCGATGAAGGTGTGGCAGACAGAATCGGGGTCGAAGTCTGTGACGTGGAACACCTTGATACCTGGCTTCTTCAGAATGTCACCATTGTAAGGAGTGGTGGCGTTTGTCAAGTTTGATAGCGTCCATATGACAGGGGGATAGTACAGGCCGCCCTTTGCATCCGAATGTAAGTCGAGCTCGAAAGAGCGCACCGACTGGTACTCCAATTGATTGTCGAGCTCTGCGTGCGAGTAGTAGTAGTCTTCTGGAGACGGTACGTATTTCTCAAAGACTGGTCGCTCGGCGAGTGAGACTTCACGATGGTAGGAGTTGTGCGTTCCGACGACTTGAATATGGTTGAAACGGATGTCAGACTTGGATGCCAGTGCGCTTTCTATGTATCGTGAGCTTGGACATTCCCGCGCAAAAAGACAACATACGAGCGAACAGCATTAAGCTCGCAGATGCCTGGCACCATTAGCATTCGTTCGTTCTTGTATGCCAGGAGCTGTCCTTACCAATGATCCCAACATGTTGCTCTTTCCTTCTGAATTGAAGTCTGTGTTCAAGGTGAAGACGCACAAAGCAAACACAAAGACCGCGAGCAACAAGGCCCGACCTTTATACGCCATCGCACCCATGCTGTTCAGCGCGCAACGGCATGCACTAAAGCTCAGATGTTGAAGTCGTTCCCGCCATGCATCGCGTTTGCGTTAGCTCGTCGCGTGCGCTCATCGGGTCTCGCGATTGGTTAATCGCACCACGTGGGTTCAGTGTACCGGCTCGGAGAGTTCTCAATGTAGCAGGTACAGATTCTGTAGGACCGTAAATCTGCACGTGCGTCACTTCGCGTTCGTGCGCGCTTCTGATGGAATGAAGACGCGTAGCAGTAGTTCGTTGGAGGAAGCGATGACGCGGTGACAGGAGCTGCCAGGGGAAAAGCGGGGCAGGTCGCCTGTAACGGAAGGACCACCTTAACCATCAACAACATTGAAGGCCCCGGGAAGATGTCATAGCGTGCTAAAATGCGACAAAAACCATTTTCCTGGGAAATCATCAATGTACTATTTGTGCTTTGGATTACCACCGCACAAGAGGCTAAAAGTCACTACCAACCATACTTCTGTCCATATCTGCCGACAAATCCTCCTACATCAGCATCTCTCTCGCCTTGCACAATTTGTAACAGTCCTAGCGCACTCGTCTCTGAACTCTCAAGGCCTTGTTCCTTTCTTTGCTCTTTGTCGTCTCCTATGTCCGTCACCACATAGCCTGGGCAGTACGTCCAGACCTTGAAGCCATCCGGCTTGAGCTGGACGTACTGGTATGCCGTCAACATGTTGAGCGCAGCTTTAGTCATGCGATATCCGGGGTATTTAACCTGGGCGTAGGGAGAGCTGTGATCGGAGATCAAAGTGATGCTACCCATAGTAGAGGACACGTTGATGATGCGCGGATTGGATGAGCGCTTCATTGCGGGAATGAGGGCTTCTGTGAGGATGGTAGGGCCAAAGACGTTGGTTTCGAACGTGGTGCGCATCAGCTCCCGGTCCGGCCATGTGCCGTCTCTTTCGGGACATATACCAGCGTTGTTAATAAGCACATCGAGCTTGCTGAAGTCCTCCTCAATCTTCTTGACCGCAGCTTTGATAGAATCGTCGTCGTTGGCATCGAGTTGCACTAGGGAGAGTGTGCCTTGGATGCCTGCCTTGGCTTGCACATCTTTCAAGACTGTTTCGCCTTTCGACATGTTGCGCGCGCCGATTATGACATGGTACTTTGGAGATGCAGATGCGATATAAATGACGGTGTCTAGACCGATACCGTTGGTTGCCCCTACAGAGGCTATCAGTATGACGAGCTTGGTAAACGTCTGGAGGGCTGGTACCTGTTACGAGCACAACCTCCTTGTCTGGGTTCGAGGACATATTTATTTTGAAATGATTAAATTGTGGTAATGGATGATATGCAGATTTCCGACTAAAGTAGAGGAGATGGATTTTGTGATACTCAAGCTGGAGTGGAAGGCGGGCGAATATATATCTTGCCAGCGATTCAGCACAACATGAACGGGTCTTACGGATGTCCACCAGGCGTAATCCACGACGAATAGAGTACGGTCTGGAACTTGCTAAAGACCAAATAGGTAATTGTAACATCAGAAACCCCGTAGATCGAGAAGGAGCGCCGGCCCGATCCGGAGTTAGTTGTCTAACTCCGATTCGCGCGGCCTGATGAAGTAATGCAAAGGCCCCGCAAAGACATGCTATGTATGAAGACTTACTCATGTCAATCGTATATACGAACGCACGAATAGTAAAACGCTGCATGGTCAGATCTGATGACCTAGTGCATTGATGGCTACATCGCAGGCTGCACTTAAGGCATAATTCCGAGAGGCGCTTTCCGTTTAGAACACCGAGCCAGATCCCATGCATGGTGGACGAGAAGGTGTGACGCTGAATAGCATGACTCACAAAGAACAGGTAGGAACTGTCAGAGCATACCAGGATCGGTCTCCTCATAGGCTGTACGCAATTTCCAAGTGTTGATCGTATCGACGCTGTGCACCCCAGTGTGCCTTCACCCGTTCACTTGTGGCATCCAATTCTGACCTGCACCGCTTTTCCTGAGCGAGGAACGAAGCCTGTGCCAGAAGTACCCCAAAAACCCACCAAAGCCGTGTATTACATGTTGGTTAAAGCCGTGATAACATAATTTGCACTTGACTGGCTTCTCTTTTGCAGCCTAGTCAATGGCGTTGGAAGTGCTTGTGACCGTTTCGAACACTCGAGGACGTGCTGACTTTGCACGGCCTTTGAAAGAATATGCAGGTTTCGTAAGACTCAACCTACTAAGCAACTACGAGGATGGTAAGCCTGACTGCTTAAGACGAAGTCTGGGTAGATGTGGTTGGTCGGCACTTCTGTCGTCGCGAACATTCCCTTGATACAATGCCAGTACTTATGAGGCAAGACAAAAAGGGGGCTGATTGAGCATTTCACCATGGTTGACAGGAGGACGCGTGGGGTAAGAAATCTTGAGATTAGCGCGGCGCGACACGACGTCATGGCGGCTCAACCCACCAGACGTCTCAACGCGCCTAGAAGCGACCTGATGTCGCACTTTGTCGAGTCACTCAGCCCTGAACGCGCATAGCGCCGCCGACAAGATGCCCTCCCTTGTTCGCAAGCTGCTCATCTTCGCCGCCGTCGACGGTCTCATCCTCCAGCCGTCCCCGCCCCGCAACCATCCGCCCGCGACGCAGCAGGCCATCAAGGTCGACTACAAGGGCAATGTCGGACCGTTGTTGAAAGACAGGCGCGAAGAAGACACGGCGCCAGTGTCTGTGGAAGCGCATGGCATTATCGGTACGCGCGCAGTCATTGGCGCATTGGAGCACAAGCTGACCCTACTCTAAGGACTACTCAAAGTGGCTACTTCGTACTTCCTGATATCCATATCCGACCGCGAACAGGTGGCACTTGTACGCGGCAAGCCCATCTACAAAATCACCGATGTCGCCCTCATCCCCCTCTCCTCGCAAGCCGACGCCGACAAGGCCATCGCAGCCACGCGCGACCATCTGAAGCGCCGCAACCGGGCGCCCGGCCTGGAAGACGAAGATAGCGATAGCGATAGTGAGGATGGCGCGCCCAGTGTGACCGACTCGCTTGTGGAGGACTCATCGTCCACACCCAGCGAGGTCAAGGACTCGGTCACCGGCCAAAAAGGCAGTGCGCAGCGCAAGACAAGTGTGGCTGAAGACGTCATACAAAGGAAAGGTGTATATGGCAGATTCGCTGACAAGTGGTTCTCGCGCAAGGGTTGGAGTGCTGACAACAGGCGTCTGCAAGGGCTGAGCTCAGAAGAGAACCTGGCGGCAAAGAACGTGCCGCAGAATGTTGACTCGGGGGTGCCCAAGGAAGAAGAACAACCCAAGAGCGAGTCTAAGCCGGATGCCATCCCTACAGATGACAAGGACATTTCGGACCCAGTCAGCCCAGAAGCTATACCCAAGGCTCTGGGCGGCGAGAAGGACGCAGCCACTGTAGCACTCTTACCAAAGATTCTGCAGACCACCAAAATGTACTTTTCATCAGGCAACTTCTTCTTCTCATACGACTATGACATCTCACACGGTATTGGCCAGCAGCAAGCAAGTTCTAGTGTCGCCCTGTTTAAACAATTCGATCCTTTGGTCAGTTTACACCTTGTCCATGTAACGGCCGATTGCTCACCAGTATCTAGTTCTTCTGGAATCAGCACATCATCGCACCTTTCATCAATGCGGGCCAGCATGCTTTTGTGCTCCCCGTAATGCAGGGCTTCGTTGGTCAACGACCTTTCACGATCAAGACGGCTGATGGCCAGTCGAACAGTCTTGTAGTCGACCCGAGTGCCACTCCAGATGACATCCAGCTCCAGTCCTGGCATGAAAAGCAGAAAGAGGACTCACAGTCCAATACGGAAGCCAGTGGCGAAGCATCTGATCCCGATGCCTCTCTTGTGGACGGCAAAGACTTCCTGTTGACACTCATCTCGCGACGTTCTATCAAGCGAGCTGGGCTTCGTTACCTGCGAAGGGGCACAGATGACGAGGGCTGTACCGCGAATAGCGTCGAGACGGAACAGATCCTATCCAACCCGGCTTTTAGCACGACACAGGACAAGATTTTTTCTTTCACACAAATTCGAGGCTCAATTCCCCTGTTCTTCTCTCAATCGCCCTACAGCCTCAAACCACAAGTCTCTACTTGGGGATCGTTTGAGACTAATGCTCGCGCTTTCAAGAAGCATTTTGCCGATCTGTCTTCACGCTATGGCGAAATATACTGTGATTCGCTCATAGACAAACACGGCACTGAGGCAAAGATTGGTGAGCTCTATGAACAGCATGCGAAGTCGCTCAATGAGAATGGCGGGATGGACGGGAAAGGCAAGCAGCTGGGTTTCGAATGGTTCGACTTCCACAACGTATGCCGCGGTATGCGCTTTGAAAACGTCTCGAAGCTGATGGATTCAATCGAACCCTTCATGAAATCTTCTGGATGGGTGGAGATCTTAGGAAATCAAGTACAGCAGAAGCAGTCAGGCGTCTTGCGCACAAACTGCATGGACTGTCTGGACCGCACCAACGTTGTTCAATCTGCGTGCGCCAGGACCGCTCTTGAAGCACAACTGTCAATGGGCAGTTACAGCATCGATCTCCAGAACGACCCCAGTACATCGTGGTTCAACACCCTCTGGGCTGACAATGGCGATGCCATATCTCGGCAGTATGCTGGCACTGCTGCGCTAAAGGGCGACTTTACGCGTACCCGGAAACGGCAGATAACTGGTGCGCTTACCGATTTTGGACTGACACTCACGAGATATTACAATAACATCGTGAACGACTACTTTGCTCAGGCAGTCATCGACTACCTTCTCGGTCGCGCTACCGATACCATCTTCGCAGAATTCGAAGCCGATATGAAGAGCTCAGATTACTTTATCGATGTACGCAAAGTGCGGCAGCAGGCCATTGAACGTTCTGCTGGCATCGTGATTGAGGATCGCGACGAAGACCTGGTACATGGCTGGACGTTGAGCGTACCCACTGCTGTTAACCAGGTCAAGACTGCTACATTTGAAGAAGCAGTCCTTCTACTAACAGAAAAGGCCTTGTACTTCTGCCGTCTCGACTGGGGAACAGAGAAAGTACGCGAGTTCGAGCGTATTCCGCTGGAGAACGTGCAAGGGCTCATGCGAGGTGTGTACGTTACGTCCACACTGGCGCAACGACACACCGACACAGACAAGAACGTTGGTCTCATCATACGATATCGAGCCGATACCAAGGGCGAGCTAGTACGGCGCAATACAAGGGCTCTAGATTCCGGAGCCGCCAGCGATGAGCAGCGCAAAGACGACGCCAAGAAAGACCAGAAGCAGGATACTGCGGGCCGCTTCCTAGCGTTCAAAGCGCTTCCACCGAGAAGCAGCGTTCCGTCATCCCCTGGCGACAACCCTGACAATGAAGGCGAGGTTGTCAAATCGGTATGCGATGAGATTGTGAGGATCGCCAATGAGATGAAGAAGGGCGGCAGGGATGAAGACAGGACACTGAAGGTAGAGGAAAAGGATATAATCAGCCTTGTGGACGCGAAGAAGAGTACCGGCTACCTGGAACAGTTTGAGTATTCCTTGAAGAAGCTTGTTTGGGGCTAAGCCCGGTCTGACACTGGCCATGTATAATGTGTTGTCGTTTCTCATTGTATCTTGTTCAGGAAGCCGTACATAAACCTTTGGAAAGATGCTCGTATCATGTAATACAGTCATCCTGTAGATAGTTACGTTTTCACCATACGGTGTGTCTGAATCGTCGACTTGCCTTGATTGGGGTATAATCTCCTTGATCCCTATACTTCCCGATGGTCTCGGACGGTCACATCAAGAACAGCGGATTCCAGCGACCAGCACGGCGGATTTACGGCGCTTCCAAGTCCCGGCGACTGAGGTGCGTGTGGGGACAGTGCGGGTGGCTGCTGGCTACCTGACAAGCTTGTGAGAGCTATATCGGGAAATGCATCCGCTTTACTTGTGCTGCACTGCATGTCGAGGGTGCTAAGTGATGTGATACTAAAGACTTGAGAGCGGTGCACCGAGATGTATGAGGAAGTCGCGTTACAAGCAAGCCAGCTGGGGAAGTAACGAAAGCACTGGTAAGCATCGACCCAGTTTCCTCTCCGCGCTCCAACATCTCCTTTCCCCATCCATCCTCTGCCCGGCGACTCCACTATTCCACGCGATGAAGCGCTTGCGTCGCTGGGACTTGTTTAATCATCAGCGGACCCGCGCCGCATCTTTTTCGGTGCAACGTTCTACCTTATGTCATCGGCACATGCAGCGAAAGACACGACCGCAACAGTGATCGGTCTCATCGCCCCGTAGCGATGGTCACGGCCCCCACCTAGAGCCTCACCTCGTATAGATGTGGTGAATGGAGTGCGCCGGCGCGTGGACCGACATGCCAATTGCATACCAAAGGATGGGTCAGCTGCACGCCTTACCACGGCCCAAAATGCCACGCCCTCTCAGACGACTTATTGAAGCTTGACAGCTACAGGCTTGCTCGGCACTCGGCTGCGAGCTTAAGCTTTGCACTCAACGGGAGGCGCATGATACGACAACGCTAGCGGCGGCACGGTTGCACGAGGAAAAGCGGGCCAACGTCAGCGTCTCGCGCGATGACTGGCTGCATGCCGTTCTTGATTGCGGTGCGTGACGTCAACTGTGGAAACCTCATACTGTGCTCTGAGCGCGAATGGCACATCGCAAAGGGCCCACCAAGGACAAAAATTTCTGCTTCATGGGGTGCCCTTGGGGTGCGAAATTGTGGGTGTCTGGAGTCTGGAGGAAAAATGGAGAGACATTGTGCGGAGTGCGGAGGGCTCGCATCTCCGGGTCGATGAGATGGATGCAACCATCAGCGTCCTTTGTGGTACAGCCAAACCAGGAAAGGCGAGCATATCGATGATCGCAGCTCCGAGTTCCGTGGCAGGTGGCGCCATGGAAGGCAGGAAGCTTCATCCGCCTTGTTGCCAACCCGTTCCCGTTGTCTCGGCATCAATTGTCCCAAGATTGCGACTCAAAACACAAGCACTAAGCCGACGGATCGTGTCAGGCTTGTCATTTCTTCACTCCGCTGCAAGGTTCCACATCATGCTCCCACCAATCAACGCGTCGTTCTTCGGAGACTATACCAAGCCAGGAAGCACATCAGAGTGTTTTCCGACCGACGAAGGGATGACCGTTACCTGGAACCGTGAAAGGTCCGCTGCGGGGCTCCCACGTTGTTCCTGGCTCCCCTGACCCAACCTCGCGTATGGTATCAAGCCGAGGGAAGCGTGGCATATAAACCCTTTTCGCACCCCGAACGCCAGGCTTGTTCTCTCGTAACCACGCCTGCCAACCTCCGGGTTTCTTTTATACATCCATTGCAGGGTGATTGGCAAGACAAGACATCACCATGGGTTACCAGATCGGCAACATCTACGGCATCACCGCCATTGCGGTCATTGGCGGTGGACTGTTCGGCTTCGATATCAGTTCCATGAGCGCTATGTACGTACTCACCATGGCTATCTGTGGATGATGCTAACATTCACAGTTTGCCAACTCAACAATACCGCTGCTACTTCAACCAGGGACCTAAGGGTCCTCCTTTCACAGGCCCCGAGGATGATTGCTCTGGTCCTACCGCCGATGTCCAAGGAGGCATCACTGCTGCGTGAGTCAGCTCTCACACCATGTATTACATCTTCAGCAACTGACTCGATACAGCATGCCTGGTGGCTCTTTCGTCGGTGCTCTCGTCTCTGGTTACCTTACGGATAAGCTCGGTCGCCGCAGGGCTATTCAAATTGGATGTGCCATCTGGATCATTGGTTCCATCATCTCCTGCGCAGCTCAAAACATCGGCATGCTCATCGTCGGTCGCTTCATCAACGGTCTCTCTGTCGGTATCTGCTCCGCTCAAGTCCCTGTCTACGTCTCTGAACTCGCTCCTCCCTCCCGCCGCGGTCGTGTTGTAGGATCCCAGCAATGGGCCATCACTTGTAAGTACTCACTCTACAAAGTGCGCGTGAGACAAAAGCTAATAAGCGCTTCTCAGGGGGAATTCTTATTATGTACTACATCTCCTACGGCTGCAGCTTCATGGAAGGCACCAAGGCTTTCCGTGTTCCATGGGGTCTGCAAATGATTCCTGCTGTCATCCTTGGTATTGGACTTCTGTTCCTACCCGAATCTCCTCGCTGGCTCGCCCGTCACGACAGATGGGAGGAGACACAGGCCGTTCTTACCCTGGTTCACGGCAAGGGTGACCCCAACAGTCCCTTCGTAAAGCTTGAGCTTGATGAGATTCGTCAGATGATCGAGTTTGAACGCCAGAACGCTGACGTTTCCTTCATGGAGCTCTTCAAGCCCAACATGATCAACCGCGTTCACATTGGTATCTTCACTCAAGTCTGGTCTCAGCTGACTGGCATGAACGTCATGGTAAGTTCCCACTGTACCAACTACATGTGCAACATATACTGACTTCGTACCTCTACCTCTGCAGATGTACTACATCACATACGTCTTCGGCATGGCAGGTCTTACCGGTAACATCAATCTCGTCGCCAGTTCCATCCAGTACGTCATCAACGTCTTGATGACAGTTCCTGCTCTTCTTTTCATGGACCGCTGGGGTCGCCGTCCTATGTTCGTCATCGGCGCAGTCCTTATGATGATCTGGATGTTCGCCAACGCTGGACTCATGGCAAGCTACGGCAACCCAGCTCCTGAAGGCGGTCTTGGTGGTATTGCCGAGCAATCCTGGGAGATTACGGGCGCGCCTGCAAAGGCTGTCATTGCTTGCACATACCTGTTCGTCGCTTCTTACGCGCCAACCTGGGGCCCCGCGTCTTGGGTCTACCCACCAGAGATCTTCCCTCTCCGCATTCGTGGAAAGGCTGTTGCCGTCGCTACCTCATCCAACTGGTATGTACAAACCTGCTTATGATGCTTGAAATCATCACGTACTAACTCCGCTCCAGGATCTTCAACTTCGCCCTCTCCTACTTCGTCCCACCCGCTTTCGTCAACATCCAATGGCGCGTCTACATCATCTTCGGTGTCTTCTGCCTCGCCATGGCTATCCACACGTTCTTCCTGTTCCCCGAGACGGCTGGAAAGACGCTCGAGGATGTTGAGGAGATGTTCATGGCTGGAGTTCCCGCTTGGAAGACTAGGGTCGAATACAGCAACACTCGCCGTGCTGAGCGTGGCGAGGTTGATAACGAGAAGGGTCTCGAGCACAGCCCCGTTAGGGTTGAGAACGCCGAGACCAAGGCTTAGGCTGTGTTTAGGAGGTAATGATCGATGGGAAATGTCTAGCATTGGATATGATGAAGAAGAGTAACAGCCACTGGACTGTTTAATCGCAAAGGTACCAACGTACACATTTTGTCACCATTGTCCCATTTCTTAGTGATGTAGAGTGCAGCTCATTATAACATCCGACCCTGCTGATACAGTGTCTGTCGACCTTTACATCTCGGACGCTAACAACAGTTACACAATATACGACCAGACCTACCGTCTGCAGTGCTGATTCCCCCCTCCTTTTCGCCGAACATCATTCGCCGCGACGCGTGTGCCCGACTAGGCTAGCGTGACGCGTCGCGACTTCCGCCCGCCTTCCGTTCCTCTTTCACGTTCATCCCCGCTGCAGCGTTCTGCTCGGTATCTTATCCACTGCAGTTCAGTTCGGCATGTGCTCTGGTTCCACCCTTATCTTCTGCATTTATGCGTCACTCAAGAACGGTTAGTGAGACGTCCATGTGGCCCCAGCTGGTGAACAGAACTCTTTAAAGTAGTATGGATGCTGCAAGTTTGATGGATGGAATTCATGCTGCCCGATCATCACAACATTCGCAGTTTGTTTAGAACAATGATAGCGACTTGTTCATTGGTGGGGTCTATGTATATAAAACCCATATACTCCTTCACCTCGACAGCTAAATAAGCGGCGCATTGCTCACGCTTAGCAGACTGCATGTGTCTTTCCAGTCTTTGCCTGTAGACTGTGGTCCTCGTCGAAGTGATCTGTCGCCTTCTTCTTAAAGATGGGGCTGATAATGGTCGAACGACGACGCATTTCGAATGCATGCTGCCTGTGCTCCTCGATCTTCTTCGCGTCGAGCTTGTCCAGCGTCGACAGCGCAAGCTTGAAGTCGGCAAGCAGTGCGTCACAACGAGACTTGGTGAAGTCCTCGCGCACAACCACACGCAGCATCTTCATCTTCTCGGAGTGAGGGGCCATTGTGTATGCGGGAACGACCCATCCGCGCTCGCGTAGTTGATGAGCACTGCTCTCGTTAGTTGCAGTTGCAGAAAAAATGGGGTGCACACTTACATGGCGAACTCATCGTACTGCTTGCCAAGATCTTCATCAATGCGGCAAGCAACGAGAGGAAGTCCAGCGCCTCCCCTTTGACTCATGATGATAAAGCCCAATGCCTCAAGGTTCGCGGCGAGATAATCGGCCGTACGCGTCAGGTTCAGCATGATCTTCCTGTATCCTCGCTTGCCAAGACGAATGAGCTGGTAGTACTGTCCGATGATCTGCGAAGCTCCGCGCGAGAAGTTCAGCGTGAAAGACGCCTGGTCAGCACCGAGGTAGTTGATGTTAAAGACGAGCTCCTGGGGAAGGTACTTGGGGTCGCGCCACACAACCCAGCCGACACCGGGGTAGACAAGTCCGTACTTGTGGCCAGAGACGTTGATGGTGGTGACCTTTGGTAGGCGGAAATCCCATAATAAACCTGGGTTGACGAACGGAGCGACGAACCCACCGGACGCGGCGTCGACGTGAATATCAACATCGATATCCTTCTCGACGAGAAGGTCGTTGATGGCTTTGATATCTTCGTATTCGCCAGTGTAGGTCGTTCCCAGGATTGCGCCTATTCGAATTAGCTCATTGTCCTCTTATAGATGCTGTAATACGTACAAATTCCAATGGTGTTCTCATCGATGAGATCAATGCATTCCTTGGGGTCCATCACATAGCGCTCAGTAGTACAGTATACATATCGCTCTTCGATATCAAAGTATCGGCATGCTTTCTGCATACAATCAGTATGCTTCTCCCTCTTATTTGCCTGAAATGACTCGACAATAGGCTACATACCTCCCAGCAGACCTGTACAGCCGAGTTCATGATCATGTTTGGCTTGTCGTAGGGCTTGCCCTCAGCCTTGCGCTTGTTTTGCCAAAGCTTTTTCTGGGCCAGTACACCCAACTATGATGCGTCAGCTCAAAGGCTTCCAGCTTCATACCACTGTATTCACTGACCATGATGGCTTCAGAAGACCCAATGGTAGAGGTGCCGATTGTGTTCGCCTCTGGATCTGCCGGCGCATTGAACAGCCTGGCGATCATCGACACACATCCTGTTTACAATTCAGCAAACATTCCTCAGCCCATTTTGTAGTGTATGTACGAACGGTTTTGGATATCGGCGCTGACGGGGTACTCTTCGTAATCGATGAAGTTCTTCGAGAACGCGTCGCTGAGGTAAAGGGTTATTGGGAGGTTACGAAACGCGAGCTTGTCCGACATACACCATAAGCTTCTCGGCCTCTTCTTCCTGCTCATGTGTCAGTCTTTGTCTATCCGATAAATGATCATTAGAGCTTACCATGTAAGTTGTAACGAATGAAGCCAAGTTCAGTGTTGGGGTGCCATCGAGCGTGAGATCGTCCTTGATCATGCGGTATGCACTAGCATCTGGTCAGCGATGCTGTCGCAGCTGTGGTGCGGCGCATAGTCTGGTGTGTTCGATGCCAATAGTGCATGTAGCAAAGTACGTACACATGGGGAGGCATTTCTCGGTCCTAGATCGTGTCAATTCCGGGTATAGCTACTCAAAAGGGCTGGACTCACCGGCATCTCGTGTCTCGGCAGATCTTCAGCAGCATATTTGGAACCGTAGACGGTAGCAGTGTAGTCGTCGGCTTCATCGTCTGGTGTCAGATTGATGGTAGTGGTGGCATCAATGGCCTCGAACTGGCTCTGCTCCTCGGAGACTTCCTTGTGAGTTGCTACACGGTTGATATGCACCATGTTGGCGGTCGTAGGGTGTGTTTGTGGAGGGGTCTTCTGGAAGAGACAATAGTGCCTGCCTTCTATGATCGAGGTGCAGGTGCGAGGAAAGACGGAGGAAGAAGAGAAGCAGGAAGCCACGTCAAGGAAGTAAACAAGGCAGCCTAAGAACAACCGGAGCTGCCGCAGAATCAGCAGCTTATATCGCTCACCAGCTCCTGACGCGCCTATCATGCAGCATCAACACGCCGCCCGCGTTCCAGCTCACTCTGCTACCCCACCACGACTTGCATACGACATACGTTGGGGGCCACCTGCTGCAGGCCGACGCTACACGACGCGTACGTCGATTCATCATCCAGACGGCCTAGCGCATTTCCGTAGCCATTTATTCTACATGAGGCGTTTGAGCTGGGAATAATTCAAGTAAACAGACGCACGATGTCGCGCCCAAGGTGCTCATTCGAGAGAGACAACATGTCATAGCGGGGTACAGGCCGTTCGCTAAGCATTTGGCCCGTGAAGCTTGTCTGGCTAGTGGCCCTGTTTCCTCACACCGCCCTACACATGCCTTCCTGCTTTCGGCGACGAGCTAACGCCTTTCGAGATGGACTATCGGCGGGGTAGTGCCAGGTACGATCTGCCCGGGCGAGTGTCGGGTTCTGCTCCGCAATGACATTTCACAACCTTCGGGGCTGAGAAGATATGCGCTGGTGGTAGGTATCAGCTAAGCCATGGCGGTTTATGCGTAGCTGACGAGAACGTTATTGCAGCAAGGTCGTCGCACACAGGCACGGTGTCAGCAGAGTTCGGTCGCAGGTTCGCTTCCAACCTTAACACTGGTAGCGTCCGAGTATATGGCTAGGTACTGATTGGATGGCTCTTATGTGCCGCTGAAAGACAAGGCTGCGGGTAAGTCGCGGCGCGAACCTAGGTGTGCGCAAGTGAGATTCCCAAGCATTCCAATAGGTGAGTATTTCCACTAGTGCTGAGTCAATTGAGCACTGTCACGGCATTGGGGACTGCAGTGCAACATATATTACGGAGGCAAGCAGCGTTGGACTGCAAGCATGGAAGTATATTTGAGTATCGTTTTATACGCAGAGCATTGCGACAATCGGTATCAAATAGCCAAGACATCTCAACGCCCTGACCATGCGTGGTTGCTGAAGCGAATCATGTACGCACCGAATGAGAGCTGAATTACAAGCGCAAGCGTGGAACCATAGCAGCGTCAACCCGTCTTGGCCAAGAGAGCAATGCTTGTTATGCTCGAGCAAATGTCGAAAACTGGCTCGGGAGGTGTACTTGCTTCGGCTTCAATTTGCGGGCGGCAGGACGACCCGGGGGTTTGAATGTGCACAACGAATGTACAGCGCTTTGGAGTTAGCGAATGTGTTGCTCCGAATAGTTTACATGCGGTGGTCGTAGTACCCAATGCAGGTATTCGAGTCCAAAGGACTACTCCAGTTGAATGCTGGCCGGAGTGCTTGTCTCAACGAATATCCGTACAGGCCGGCGATGAGCTATCTATAGTCTGTAGGGAGCCTTTTGCTTCATATAATGTTCGCAATGCTGATGCGACTTGTGCCTGACGGTGTCGGACTTGGGTTTGGCGCCATCTTTGGTGGTGGTGGTGCTTCCGGTGCCAACTGCACGCGCTTAACAGGATTATGGGGTGGAGGATAGTAGGCAGGCGATTGCGTGGATCGATGAAGGAGCTCATCCATCAGCTGCTTGACCATTTGCTCAACCTTGCTCCACTCATCCGGTTCAGTTGTAGTGTTCATCGGTGAACCAGATGACGTGCGCAATGGTAGTGCGTCCCGCATCGGTTCATCGCCGCTCGGCGATCTTGTAGCGATGGGGGTCGGGTCTGGCTTCATGCTCGAAGAGATCAAATTATCACCCGCCCAAACCCAAGAATGCTCAAGGCTGCTTTGAGCGTCCGCACTGACGTACGCGATCATCTCCTCATCCTGCTCGAGCTGATGACTGCTTGCGCGCCCGGTACGCACTCTGTCGAACATCCTTTCGAGGAAGAATACCACGTGCTTTCCGCACGCCGTGTTGACCTTCCGTCGATTGCCAATAGCCCTAGAGAGATGCAAGCAAACGAGTGCAGCCTTGTACTCGCCACGGAAGCATAGCACAAGTATACATCTCCACAAGTGCAAACATACGGCATTGCTCGCTATCGAAGCTACTAGCTCTTCCCATGTTTTTCCAGAATCCTGTTTGGGAGGATTGTGCAAGGCCCTTGACACATACGTTGCCGTGTCTTGAGAAACAGAAAAGCACCGCTTTAGAGCACTCACTCGCTCCGCGAGACCGGCTACTGGAGTCAGATTGCGCCGGTACACACTAAAGCGAGCGGACAACAAGCAAAAGATTGTAGGCAGTGCCGACATGTCGAACAGTGTATTGGAATCAGGCTGGTAGGCTTCAGGAAGGAGCAGCAACTTAAGTCGAAGCTCTTCATCAAAGCTTTGTAGGCTCTGTGGGAGAACTACGCTTGATTTGAGAATTTGCCGCAGTGGCGCATATAGGCGTGTGATGTGTATGTTCGCCATGAACCCAGTATAGTGAGTTGGCTTCGCTAACGAGCGGAAGGAACTGTTCGGTTGGATGTAGCGGTCGTCCACGGCGGATGGCAGAGATATTTCGCAGTCGATTTCGTTGATGATCATAGGCTTGCCTGTCTCAAGCGACATGATCCTATTTCAAAGTCAGCTGCAGTTGGCAAAAAGAGGCGAGAAACAGCTTCCATACCTATCGCGAACGTAGATGGACCACCAGAGCCTACGTCGGATCTCACCGTCGACAAGAGGCCAGACATCGACTTCAGGGCATATTTGCAATTCCTGAGCCATTCTCGCGGCAGAGGCGAGCCACATAGAGCCCGCAGGGCCCAAGTTGCACTCAGTAGCGTAGATGCTCAACAGAAGTGCTGCTTGGGCATATGTAACTGAGACATCATGCGGCCAGGACTGGAGAACAGCAGTCGCGGTCTCATACATTGCCTGGCCCTTTGACACTGAGGTAGGAGAGTTGGTGTGCGCCGGTTCAGCTTGCAAAGCGCCACAAGCCAATACCGCAAAGAATAATCCGACCCATTCACGAGAGCAACCCTCGAATGTTTTCGAAGTGTACACTTCGTCCACTTCTCGCTGAAAAGTGGGCCAGTGAACAGCAGGATACGACTCGTGTATCGTCTCCATGTATGAGCGAGCGAGGTACGCAAAGTCTGCGCGTGTTGGTATCTCGGTTGACCGCCAATTTGTCAATCCAGCGCCCTTTGGATCGTGATGGGGTGTAGAAAATATGCCTTGGGCATGTGTTCGGATGTTGCTGCGGACCTGGTCGAAGTTGTTCAAGGCTGGCATTGTGATCGGACGTGGTCCCGGTATGGCGCCAATCTGAGCTTCAGAAAGCCTGCGCTTCGTGTCTGTCCGTTCGGGATCTAAAGGCTCACCATCGGAGACCTTGGTGCGCAGCTGAGAGTTGACATGAGTCAACTCGGCAATCTGACTCTGAAGATCCTGGACCTGTCTATGCAACGTAAGCAAATGTTCGTCCAAGTGGGCTAAGTCATAACACGTACTTGATGGATGACATTCGCCGGTTGGTCTCCTTGGTGAATTGACACCTGTGGTTACGGCTCGAGCATTCTGAACAAGCCGATGTCTCGGTTGCATCGCACTAAAATAGTGGTCAGTAACATCCTCACATGGTCTCCAGTTCAATGCCCTGACATTGCTCATGGAAGCATGTCAATCTCAGCAAAGCTCATGCGCAACTGGATACGCATGCGCTCGACGCGACTGAAAGGGAAGATGGTCGTCTAGGTGGCCAGTACCTGATCATCCATCCCCAATCTCGCTTGTCCGCCTCTGATGGCATTGCTGGAATGCCACCAAAACACTTGCTTTTCATGTACGTATGAACCTTCTATTTTCTTTACTCACCTTGACTTTGCGTTCTCGACAAGCATCGCACGAGGGATCCTTACGTCTCTGTCTGTATGCGCGTTTTTGCGCGTTCAAGTTCGCGGACGATATCTGAGTAGGGGATATCATCAGGCTCGCGCCATCGTGGTTGTGGTCCGGCAGGCTTCCAGATGCCGTACTTGGTGAAGTGGAATGGCTATAAGAGTTCGAAGAATACCCAGGTGAACGGGAGCCAAGCTGTGGGCCAGTAGGCGCCGCCAGAGTAGTCGTGCGAGCAACCGGATGCGACATCGTGAACGGACTTGGTGGTGGTATCATGGTCCGTGGCGACTGCCCACTGGAACCTGGCGGAGATTTGCGCATCGTGAGAGATAGCCCAAGCGCTCGAAGACAGGCCGGGTGTGGGTATCGAAATTCGCTTGGTAGGTAACAAGTTCTAGTCGAGATGATGTCGCTATGGAGAAAGAGTAAGTGGTCTCGGTAGAAGCCGAACACAGCGCTACTCAGAACGGGCCAACGATATTAGTAGCTTGTGGGACCAGGTAGACGTGTTGAACCAATGGAAGCCAGCCGTCAACACCTCATGCTGCCTTGGCGTGATGCAAGATGCGGAAGATGGAAACTTGTGGATGAACAAGATAAGTGACAGGTCTTCGCTCCAAGTGGAGAAACCGTGCAAGCGAGCGGTAGGTTGGGCAGATTGAGTGACTCGGGCATACAGAAGGCTGGAGCGCGATAGTCGGGTCTGTGTCGCCTGAGTAAGTGCTGTCAGCCAGCCGCTCGGCTGAGTGGCCGAGATGCCACAGCTTTAGGTTAGGGTCAGTGGCTAGACTGGTTAGGGTGAACTGCGAGGTGGTGTGTGATGATTGAACTTTCACGGCCGTGAGGAGACAAGAGACGCTTCGGCAGACGGCAAGATTCGTGGGAACGATGTTAAATCTCGGCAAAGATCCGATGAAGGAAATACTGGGTATTTCGGGGCGTCGTATGGGGCTAGTATGCTAGTCAAAATGCTGCAATGATCAGCTCAATTCCCAGTTGCAGTGAAGTTCGTCTAGCAACCTTGTGGTAAGGCGGTAGAAGGACCCTGTCAGGTCGCCACCTTTCGATCTCGGATGGATGCTCTGAGCGACACAGGGGATTGGCGAAGGTGCTTCGTTTAAAGCACGTGTCGACTTGGCGACGCGCTGAAATGGAAAGGAGCTTCGGGGACCCTGTACAAAGCTCCGTATCCTGGGAGAGTAGGGGACTTTAGCAAGCCTTGTTCAACAACACCACGAAGCAGAGGCCTCCTGTGCATTCGACGTACCGGTATACGGGAGGAGCAAAGTTTATTGCGGGTTGATAGTACCACGAATGCCCAGATATGTGGTTTGGCTCCCGTCCACGAGTGGACCGATAGAAGTCGTGCAAACCTATGTTTTTGTGTCTCGTGAGTACTGCCCAATGGCTCCGCACACGGCATACAGTTGGTGCTGCTTCGACTAGAATGAGACGAAGCGAGTGTTCTAGTTCAAATTCTACACGGGCTGGCAGCTCCGTTAGCAGGCTCGGACGTAGATCCGGATGGCTAGTCTTACCTGACAGCTTGTCCGGCTCTGATGAAGCCTCATGTTCCAGAAGATGATCGGTTCGTGCCTAAATGCCAGACGGTCCACATGGCTTCACCCAAAACGTCCAAGGCATACCTTTTCGGCGAGATTCATACAGGGGTCTACCTGCATGCGGCATTGAAGAAAGGCACTTCGCTAACGCCTGCAGCCATGGCAAAAGCACACGGGATTTCGAATCTGCAAGCACGAGGATTACTCGGATGAAGCGCTCTGGACTTTGAAAGACGATGGCGAAAAAGGCGCCGAAGGATCAGTTTTCGGTCCCCAAGAAGATAGGGAACACCGTCATGGTGGTTCACTAGCGATCTGTCCCGACATGCCCTAGTGGGATTCGCGGAGACTGTAGCCAGGCCTCCCCAGCCACAGCACGTTGAGCGGTGGAATCGCCGTGCACGGTAAGCCACAGCCACATCAATTGCCGTGTGGCTTCCGATTTGTTGGTAGACCGTGAACCTACGTAATGCTCACACTGATGTCACTATGAACAAGATTCTTCGTACATCTTCTTGGATAAGTACACTAAGCGTTGAGTTAACACTACCTCATTCAGGACAGTGTTCCGAGAATTGTTCTGCGCGCGTCGCCGGAGAACATCCCTGACCTTGCGGCGCCCGTCATCAGGCGTGGCACCGCTTGCAAAAACGTGGTTCCCCACGTTGCAGCGCGTGCCCGCGCCCGTCGCGGAAGCCCCACAGGCAAGGCCAATGTATCGCTAGTCTGTCCTTCTGTTGATTTCGAGCTTGGCGTCGACAGCGGCTCGGCCAGTCAAATGCAGCATGAAGAGCAATGCGAAGCCGAGGTGACCAGAAACCAGGTCAAGGCGGGTGGAAATTTACTGCCAACTGCCGAACCGCTCGTCTAGACCGCGCCGCGGCCCCTCGCCACCTGAAACTGACAGCTGCCGGATAGCAAGCCCGGATAGGTGCCTTACGAGGCTTTTGACGGGCGTCTCAAGAACGGTGCTATGTTTCTGATACACGGCAGGGTACATTGCGGTATCCGCAAGAGCGAGCACCAATCTCAATGGTCTGTAGCATCTGTTGAGCGTGTCGATCAGGACGTGCATACCAGAGGCCCGCAAAATGCTTCTACGGTACGATTTGTGTCTGCAAGTCGGAGTTTTGATCTTTTTATATCCTGTGCGCCGTTGCACATGTCGCGTGGAGCGGAAGGTATGGAATGTGACACCCGACGTCTGCTCAAGTATCGATTCGATGCTGTCCCCTCCGGCTGCATAGTTGTGTTTCGACGAGGCCCGTACGTACGCTGAGTAGTAAACAGAGGTGAAAAGATCTACAGTTGTGATCGCTCGTTGATCATCTATGATTGCGCGGCCCCCTGGCGGGTCGGTAGCTTCCGTCCAAGGAAGGCAGCCGATGGGGTTTTGAGAAAACGGACTGGGATGACAGGAAGAGTAGCGTGCTGTGAGCCGCTCATCTGCGAGAATGGACCGAATGTGTCTTGGCGGACCCGAAGTTGAGTTCTGCAACCCGAGTTTGACGTGCGATCGGCCCTCCGATAAGACGCCGTTGGAGGCAGGCTAAAATTTCGCCGGTGATCTTTCGCCTGGCGGTTTCCAACCACGGCGATCAGCACATGTCAGTCCCGAATAGGATGTCATGCAGAAAATCTCTTAGACGCTTGGAGAAAGGGAGAAGCTTGTCTCTGGCGGGCGGATGGAGATCTGCGAAATTCGGAGTCGCGTTGGGGTAGAGTGGCGATGTGATAACGCGTCGTCCTGTTCGCGGCAGTTTCTCCAGGTCGGCGAGGAGGGCGAGAACAGTATGTATCGACAGCAAAACCGTTGAAGGATGCACGTTGATGTTCCTGCAATATCCGCTACGCTCTTCATGGTGGGTGCGCGTGGTGTCGTCGGAATGCGCCAAGTTCTTCGCGCCTTCCATGCCTCCCGCCGACTACGAAGGCGGTGTTTACTTCCGATACTCGAGGCAGGCGCACTGGAGCGTGTAACACCACCTGGGCACTGGACCTTCGCTCACGTGCCGTAGCCATCGTCGACATCTCACTTGAGCAGTCGATTCACGTTGGGTCTCGATGTTGTGGCCCTCGAGGCCAGCCATGTCTCACACCAGCGTCCCCATTATGTCCTTGTACGATGCTCCGAGATTGCCGCATACCTAGATCCGACAACCTTAACTGCACCTCTAGCCAACACTTGAGATAATGCTTTTTCTTGTAGCGCAGCGCGCGGCGCAGATAAAAGCACCCTGGTATTCTCCGGGACTATGCGTGGAGGAGATAGGCAAGCTTTAGAGCGAATTATTCTCCGACTCGATGTCACGCATCCGCCTGGTCGCAATGTATCGTGTATATTCCTACCCCGACTTAGGAACCACGATGCAACGACTCTCTCAATGAGAGTTCTCGTCACAACCTGAGAAAGAGCATGTGCACTGGACAACACGCTACCCCACGCAGTAGACTAGCGCGACTTACAGCCTCGGTACATCACGTATGCATTGATACAACTTCGGATGGCTGGGCACCGTTAGCACCGAGGTCGTTACATGAGCAGTCGTGAATCACGACTAATTAACACTCCTACATAGTAACGTATTATTGGTGTGCAAATAACGTTCTATTGTCGCCATATACATAATACTCAATACATACAATCATCATGGCATCCGCGGAACAAGATGTGCAGCTGCACGACTTCACCAACATCTTTACCTTGAAAGGCAAAGTCGCAGTCGTGAGCGGCGGATCTCGAGGATTAGGTCTCCATGCAGCATCAGGGTAAATGAATCCATCTGCTTCCATCCATCATTCCAGCGCACCTGCCTAACACAAGACCAGCCTGATGCAAGCTGGCTGCTCCAAGATCTTCATCACCTCCCGTAAAGCTTCAGCCTGCGATGCCGCCGTCGCAGCCCTAAATGCGCTCCCCAATAAATCGCCTGGTGCAGTAGCTATTTCCATTCCCGCGGATAGCTCCAAGGTCTCCGAGATCGACCGACTTGTGCAGGAAGTCAGCAAGCATACCGATCACGTGGACATTCTCTTTGCCAATGCAGGAGCGACCTGGGGCAGCAAGTTTGAAGAGGCGGACGAGAAGAACGCATGGGATAAGGTTATGGACTTGAATGTCAAGGGTGTATTTTTCACAATCCAAAAGTGGGTGTTTCCTTTCCGGTTTTATCTAACAATAGCGCTAATATGAGCACATAGACTCACACCCCTCCTCACAAAGTCCGCAACAGTTCAAGACCCCTCGCGCGTCATTGTAACAGGCAGTGTAGCAGGAATCGGCGTGGGATCTCTCGGTGAGACAGGCTCTTGGTCGTACTCCGCATCCAAGGCCGCAGTCCTGCATCTTGCGCGCAACCTTGCTGTTGAACTAGGGCCCAGACACATTCTTGTCAACGGAATCGCGCCTGGATTCTTCATGAGCAAGATGGCGGGTGTACTGATGGAGAAAGCTGGTGGTGAGGAGGCGTTGGGAAAGACTAACCCGAATGGAAGGGTAGGAAAGCCAGAGGACATCGCAGCTGCGGTTGTGTATTTGAGCAGTCGGGCTGGCGGACATGTCAACGGAGACACAATTGTGCTCGATGGCGGCAAGATCCACGGAAGTAACAAGTTGTAGAATTTAGGGAAGACTAGGCCTCGCCCTCAGGAATACGCATCCCATGCATTCCCCTATATCCACTCTTCTCCGGCTTCTTCCAACCCTTCAACACCTCCCCTTTGACTTCTTCCTTGATCTCATACACTTCCACCCGAATAGGTCGGCATGTGCTCTTCATCCCCTCATCATCATCTCCCTCTTTCTTCTCTTTTCCCTCTTCCGCCTGCGTCCAGCCCCAACGGCTCAGATCGCCACCCGGACACGTACTGAGCGCACATAACAAGTCCAACTCGGCGAAGAAGGTAAGAAAGCTATCCTTGGTCGCAGGACTAGCTTCCATGAAGTAGCGGCCTTGGGAATCTAGACCCGTGACCTGGAACACGTTGAGTACGTCGTGAACATCGAATTCCGTCAGACCATATGGCAAGATGGAACGGACGAGGTTGGAGTGGCAGTGGTAATCGTAGGACGAGGATGTTAGCATGTCTGATACTGCGTCAAAAGTTAGCATAGCTCTCACACACTTTCGATTGAGTAGAATGATGTCCAGAAAGAGTACAAGGAGAAAAAATCGAGAACACAACCCATCCCAAGCCAAACATCAGGCCCACACATTCAAACATACCATAAGGATCACACCTCGTCCCCAACAAATCATTACACCGTCCACCCCACCTCGTAACCCCACCCCTCTCATCCCTGCTGCTCTCCCTCCCCTTCCCCATGCCCTTCCCCTCGGAATCCCTAATCTCACATCCATCCTCCACAAGCCCACACATCGGCCTCATAAACGGGAGGCAACTCCACAGCCTATCCCCCTGCACCACATGACTCCCCTGCAACTGCCTCGTCCTAGATGCCCAGAAGCGCTCTCGGGGATCATGCTGGTTCCACACGTTTAAATCGCCGACTTGGGGCCCTTCGGGCGTGGAGAGACGGAATAGTGCGCCTGCGGGAACGGTCCAGGCTTTTCCGCTGCGGGGTGGGATGGTGAAGTCCTGGGTCTTTATTAGGGAGGTGGAGGGGAGGTCGCGGAGAGTAGTGTAGAGGGCGGTTGGGGGGTGGAGGGGGGAGTCGGCGGATGTGGGGAAGTAGGCTGGGGCTGGGGGGATGCTGTTCCGGTCGTTTTCTGCCATGGTGGTTGTCCTTGTTGGTAGAGAGAATGCGCTGGGGGTGGGCAGGGTTATGATCGTGATCTTGTATGGATATGGTGACACGGATCGGAGTTGTAGATAGAGTTTGGGCCGGTATGTCATCCATATGTCGGGCATTACTTCACACCAACCGGTATCCACATCTACGGGTCCATGAGCCGGCGATAAGCGTTGTGTAGGATGCATGTGCCGATGTCGGATACGCCCTGGGCATGGCAAGAACAAGAGCGATTGCTGTGGGAGCTGTGCCGATGAAAACGTCTGGTAGGCAAGCGGACAAGAACACAGAACGCGGATATTGTAAGGTTCTACATGTGTGATTTGAGTACAGCTATTGATACCTTGTTTAACTATTCTCATTCCGTTTAGACAGCACTTTTAAACTCCAATGCCCCGGCCTTTTACATCCCAAATGCTGTATGCGATATGTGTGAACGGAGAAACTGAACTGTGAAGCGTTGATAAGACTTCATGCCGCTACACCCCCGCACTCTTGACGTCCGCCTGACTGCCGTTAACGGCAGCCTCCAGCTTATCCACTATTGTGCTTCCATTTTGTTTGCCGTTTCGCGTAGGACTTGAGTCTGGGCTGGGGATCTCGAGGGTGTTCGATCGCTTGGGGCGGAAAGGAATGGGTGTGGTAGGTCTCGACGATAGGAACTGTGATGTGTTAGCCAAAGTGCTGTTTATTATCATGAGCGAAGACCTACTGAAGAAGCTGCGCTCAACATAGCGATGAGAGACGCTTGAACCACGTCCTGGTGAATACCAACACCCCAGACCTTCTGACTGCTCTGCGCGGCTGTGCAACCAATGTAGGTCGCGGCCTTTGCGTCTTTGCTTGTACCAATTGTGTGCTCGTTGTAGTCTACAACGTCCAGGTCGATACCCAGACTCCTCAGTGCATCGGCCAGCGATGACAGCGCACCAGTGCCCGAGCCCTGGATCTTGTGTTCCTGGCCATCAATCTCAATGACACCGTTGAAGATACGGCGCAGGTTGCGGCTGCTGACTGTTCGGCCGTCTTGCGGTGGCAGAGGTGTCTCTGATCGGTCGGCCTTGATTTCGTAATCGACAAGGGAGAAGCGAGGGTTGCGCTTGAGGTGGTAGGCTTCTTCGAAGAGGTTCGTGATCTCGGTTGGCAGGAGTTCGCGGCCGAGCATGTCGGTCTCCTTCTGCACAATCTTGGAGAAGGCGATTTGCAGACCACGAGGCAGGTCGAGTTCGAGCTGGCGCTGGATGATCCAGGCGATTCCTCCCTTTCCACTTTGTGAGTTGACGCGGATGATGGCTTCGTACGTGCGGCCGATATCTTGGGGGTCGAGGGGAAGGTATGGGATCTGCCACCGGCTCTCGTTGTCCGCGCCGTTCTTCTTGCGCATCTGGAATCCCTTCTTGATTGCGTCTTGATGTGAGCCGCTGAAGGCGCATACAACAAGCTGGCCTCCGTATGGCGCGCGCGGATGTATCGGGATCTTGTTGCAGCTCTCCACCATATCGATGATTGACTTCAGGTCAGAGAAGTCGATCTTTGGATGTATGCCCTGGGTGTACAGGTTGAGGCCCAGGGTGACGAGGTCGACGTTTCCTGTGCGCTCTCCGTTGCCGAACAGCGTGCCTTCTACTCGGTCTGCACCCGCCATTTGTGCCAGTTCTGCCGCCGCTACTGCGCATCCTCGGTCGTTGTGTGGGTGTAGAGAGACGCAGATCTTCTCCCTCTCGGAGATGTTCTTGCAGAAGTACTCGATCTGATCGGCGTAGACGTTGGGTGTCGACATTTCCACGGTGGCTGGCAGGTTGAAGATCAGCGGGTTCTCTACACTTGGTTCCCACGCTGCCTTGACAGCCTCGCAGACCTTGATGACGAACTCTGGGGACGAATCTGAGAAAGTCTCGGGCGAGAACTCGTATGCCCACTCTGTGCCGGCTTGCGCAGGGTCGTCCTTGGTTATCGAGCGCGCGTACTTTGTGCATTCGACTGCGAGGGCGATTGTCTCGTCGTCGTTCATGTTGAAGACGATCTGCTGGAAACACGGGCTGGTCGCGAGGTACAGATGGAGGATGGCCTTGCGCGCGCCCTTGAGGGAGTCGACGGTGCGGCGGATGAGCTCTTTCCGGCATGGCGAGAGGACCTGGATCCAGACATCGTCAGGTACTATGCCGGGTGTTTGGATGAGGCGTTGTGTGAAGTCGAAGTCGGTTTGCGACGCGGAGGGGAAGGAGACTTCGATTTCCTTGTAGCCGAGCTTGACTAGCATGTTGAAGTAGTCCCATTTTTGCGCGCCATCCTGCGGTCCGTGTCAGATGTTGGTTCGCAGCGGCTTTTGGGTGGATTGGCACTTACCATGGGATCTACTAGACTTTGGTTGCCGTCTCTCAGGTCGGTCGACAGCCAGCGTGGTGGCTTCTCGATTGTCTTGTTAGGCCATGTCCTGTCCGGCAGGTTCAATGGCTTGAAGGGATGGTACTTCTTCCAGGGCTCCTTGAGCATAGGCATCTTGGTGTGATCAATGCAGCAGGTATCTTGAGGCGCTACTTTGAGAACAGTCTCTTGATGGCCCAGCGACAACAATGGGGGGCCAAAAATGTATCTCGGGCGGATTCGAGCAATGTAAACACACTTGGGATATGGAAAGACGTAGGAAATGTGCGCACAGGCAGGCTATTAGTACAGCGCGAGGTATGATTCACAGCAAAAGAAAACTTTGGTCGGTGATACTAAGCCCTTGAGCCGGCCACTGGGAATGGCATATGACGATGCGGGGCGCAGAATTCGCTTGCGCGCGCCCTGTGCATTCAATTGCGGGGTCCGACTTCGGGCTGCCTGAGCTCTACCAAACCGACAAATCATGCTACGCGGATTTGATTGTGTACGGACCTCCGAGGCTTCACGCGGAAACCCAAAGCATGATGACCGAGGTGTGCATAGCTATACGGACGTGTATACAGCCGCAAACATGTTGTTTGTACGCCATTCAGCCTGTGACTGAAAGCGGGTATTCCAGGTACACGATCCCAACATTTTAGCGCCACTAATGCGATGGAGCGGATTCCAACGTTGCCCGCAACAAGTAGACTGTCATTAACCTACACCACAACAGTCTGTGTTCACCGTTGAAGCCCTCCACACAACCGGGAACCCGCCGGTTTGTGGCTAGCTAAACGCTCCCAGCCCAGCTAGAAGATTGGCACCCGCAAACCACAGCACTCCACTTCACTGCCCTTGACCCCAACAGTACGTCCAAAGTACAGACTACCAAACTCCTGCACAAAGGCGCGATCAGCCTCTGACCATGTATCCAGTCCCATTCGCGACAGGTCGTCTCTGTCAACAATCAACGCATCGCTGTCATTATCGTCATCGTCTCCTCTTTCGCCTTGTGTATCCGCCTCGATGATTTGCGACAGCGTTCGTATGAGCAGTGAAGACTGTCGATGGAAGTACGCAATTATTGCTGTCTCCAGCGACTGTGAGTAGGCGGAGAGGTCGCCAATCAGCTCGCGATCCGTCTCCCGCTCCGCTGTCGTGTATGCATCTCTCTCGCCAGCCGAAGCCCACCACATGTAGCCCATATATGCAAGCCTTGACCACGTTGTTGGTTCTACCACCGTGTCGTCGTATGCTTCGTTGAAGTCGTCGTCGGCGCGTTTGGTATCGACCTCGTCGCGCGACAGCAGGGGAGCAGTGTCGTCGTTCTCGTCGTCCGTATACGGCTCGGGCGATGTTTCCGATCTCGTACGCTGCTTGAAAAGCTCCTTGTGCAAAAGCTTGTAGCGCGCAACGTCCCGCTGGCTAGCCTTGATCAAACTGCCATCGCTCGTTCGTATCCGTGGCCAGCGGCGTTCTTGTGGGGGCGCATCGTAAGTGGGTGGTAGTTCGACGATGATGTCGTAGAGCTGCGTCTTTGTGACAATGATTTCGTCCGTTGTGCACGCCGCCCAGCCCTCTGATGGCTCGAGGCCCGATGTGTGTCCGCCGTGTCTTGGCCTGCGAAGGTCGTCGAGGAGAGGTATGTCGTGTACGCCGACGGAGAAGAGGGTGGGCAGGCGGAGGAGGTTTTCCGTCTCTGGAGGCAAACGTTCGGTGTCGCGAGGCGATATGCTAGACAGGACAGACAGATTGTAGACTGGCATGTTAGCTGTAAGATAGCCAATGATAAGATCTTAGGCGTACCGAACTCGCAAGCAGTCCTGACCGGCGGCACGCCCACGAAGAGGATCCGTTTCCTCAGCAGGGCCGCTTGTAGCAGCCGGAAGACCAATGGCCCGAATACGTCGAGGAAGCGTTGTATAGATAAGGCCGGGTGGTAGTCCGGCAGGCTCTCCTCGTCTTTGATGACAGCGCTCACGGTGGAGATGGCGCGCGCTCTGCTGTGACCTTTCGCCTCTCCGGCATCTGAGGTGGTGTCGCCTTTGCCATGTCTCGAGACCTGTTCCTGCCAGAACTCGTCCAGCGGCGTCACAGCTTCCGGGTCGTCCGCCAGAGCCGCAGCCAATTTCTCCAAGCGGCCGGCCAGTAGCCAACTCCTTCCTAGTCTCCCGAATCTGCCTTCCTTCTGGATTAGAATCCCCACGGAAACGAACGTGGCATTGCGATCCTCTGCGCTCGCGTCGCCCTTTGCGAAGGCGCTGAGCCCGGCATAGCCATCGTGGGTAAAGTAGACGAGGTCATTCTGCACTGAGTGCAGACCTGAGGGTAGCGATTTGTATTCAACGGCGTTGTCGAGGGTAATATCCGGTGTCGTTGTGCGCTTCCAGGCGATTGTATAGCTGTGAATGATCAGCGCATAGCTCCCTAAGGTACTCCGGCTGTCCAGCGTCGCATGACGTACCCAACTTTCTTATCGAACTTGATGAGGAAGAGCGCTTCAACGCGGGGCGCGTCCTCGCTGTGAGAATCTACATTGGTTGCGCTCGATTCAGTCGAGGCCGACATATTGGATGGGAATTGGTCGAAGGTAGACTGCTGCTGCTGCTGCGCAGGCGGCAGTCAGTGATGCGCCGCGTCCCAGGAACGCTTCGCTTACTCTTGCCCGTCGCCCCTTCTCCGGCCATACTCGTCACTGCACATGGGAAACATCTTTTCGATACCCACCTACCGTCGGTTGATATTCCTTACTCTATCGTACAGTTGCTGCAATTGCTCCACGTCGTTCATGAGAATCTCCTGTTGCATTCAACTATAGTGCTATCCGCCATTGCATTACTCATTGCGCCGGCACCAACAGCTTCCTTCGCTCAACAAGTTGGATGTGCGTTACGGAATTTGTAGCCGGCGACAAGAGCGGCTATATGAAAAGCCTGGCCAACTACAGCGCAGACATGATGAATCTGGTGAGAATGGCCCCAAATATCAAATGAGCCTGGGCTCAGTCTCTCTGGAAACCTACCGACGAAACATGAGACCCCAAGCAAAAGAACCAGCCCTTCTGCAAGATACCATTGAGCTCCTGTCTCAACACACGCACGACTCCATCCAAGCTTGCCGACGCCATGGAATATTGAGAGCATTGCTGTAAGGGCGAGCGCACTGAAAATACTGCCACGAAGCGTTCTCATCTTGTTTCCACCGCCGCCACTATTGAACAGCATTGCAGCAGCAGCGATAGCGGCGCCGCCATTGAGACACCAATATACTTGTTGAGCTACTGGATCACAACGAACGGCATAATAGTTGGCTGATGATCCACCGCCCATAGCTAAGAGACAGATGCCGAAGATGTCGAAACGGCCCCAGAGACGGTGAATGTTGTAGGAATGACTCCGAAGTGTGTGGAACGTTGCGCTGAGCCCAAAGCAGAGAGCTGCTGCGCTTAGAGAAATACCCAAAGCGAATTTGTCGCCTGTGCTCAGGTCAAGCTTGGTCGAGATAGCAAGTGTGTGTAACCCGATGCCAGTCCCAACGAATGCGGTGCTCCCAAGAAGGTGGGTCCAGATATTCATCGTTTCCATATGAAGGCAACGCCAGAGCCGAAACGATCGTTTGTACGAATGAGTCGGCATTGGATGTCCAGTGATGATGAAGTCGTTATCATGAAGCCATGTCGGAATGTCGTCTTTGGTTCCGATTGTAGGCCAATGTGGCTGGGCATCTTTCTTGCCGTGGAGTGTTGGGCAGGCGTTGGAAGCCAGTGAAGTGGTATTGGGTGAGCGTACTGCGTCCTTGGCCATATTGGTAGCTTCAATGTGTCGCGACTCCAGCGCTGGAGTTGTTGTCCAAACAGTTATATCGTTATCAAGATACAGACGCCATTGTAGTGTCGAATACAGGCAACAGTTGTGTAAGAAGAATATGTGGAGTCAAACACCTGAATTGCTTGGGCCTGATGTGTCTAATTAGCGTTTGCACCTACCACTCGTTGCTAGATATGTGAAGGGCGTTCGTTGACTCAGTTGAACTCCAACGTATCTCGGTGTGCAGTATCATCGCGACGCAGCCTCCCAGGGCTACAATTCCTCGCTAATCCAAGGCTTCTGTGGTCATATATGTAGGTAAGATGCCACGATCTCTGATGTCGACTTGGTCAGTATCAGGTATGCTAACAATGCTGTAGCTACCGGGCAGTCCTACGCATGCAGCTATGATGTCACCGGTTTCGTGAACAGCCATTGCGGGCATTCCCTAACGATCCTTCTGCCAACATTTGTACAAACGGAGAAATTGCGTCCCTTTGTCTGGGGAGAGCTTACGCTCTCTCCGCGTGATTGCGTGGGAAAAGGTTGCACGATAGTGGAGATTTCTTTGAGTCAGACAAATACCAGTCGGACTGTATGGCGTTCGACGTGGCTATGCTGATTCTCATTAGGAACATATCCTTGGAGCTCTAAGCGTATAACTTGCGAAGCCGCATATTTTCCCTTAAAATCTGACGTCCACAATGCGTGGAAGTCTTGTCGAACGTATGCCTTCAAGATGCTTCTGGTGCCAACCTGAGCATATCGCAAGCCGTGCTCACTAATCAACAAACACTGTTCGAAAGGCCCTGCTGAACAAGGCCTCATAGTGATTATGATACCAAAGAGATATCCATGGGCTGTTCAAAAGTCGTTAGATATCGAGTCTTGCCCGTATGGCGACTGTGAGTTATGGAAGTGTCACAATTGCCGTTGATGGTGCGTGCGTGAGTTGCGCGGGCAGTGGGTACGAGAAGGTGCAGTCGGCCCTTTCCTCGGCCAGACCCACCAGACTGGATAATCACGAAGCCATCAGTCTGCAATGAACTCGATTGAGACGACTATACATAGAAATTGCGTCGAATCCAATGCATGGAGTCAGCGTTTGCATAAGGTCTGACGTCATGTGGCTAACGTACCTGCCACGCACAGAGTGCACTGGCCATGTCGCTGCATCCGCCGACCACTCGAGACATCCAAAGTTGGTTGCTTCATCACTTATAGCACATTGGCCTGTCCGCCAATAAGGAGCAGACCGCACCTTTAGCTTGTACTTTGATCCAAGCTCTCGCACTCCCGGCCGTTAGGAATGTCATCGTCTTCTCTCAGAGATATCGCGCCGCGTCCACAAGACTTGGCTGCAGCCGCCGCTGTTAGTAGAGCAACTCCTACCAGTCGCAGGCCGTCACGCGTGACAGTCGCATGTCTGCCCTGCCGTGGCCGACGCACCAAGGTCTTTCACCGAATTCTTTGCTAGTAGCGACAGCAATTCCGTGAAGTCGAAGCTGACACACGACAGTGTGACGGTGGCAGACCGACATGTCGCTCTTGCTCGGAGAGAAATTCACAATGCGGATACGACCCACCCCTCGTTCAGGCGCAAAAAAGAAAGATTGAAGAACTGGAGGACGATAAAAGTTCCATGTATGAAGTTTTGTGGTACCTACAGACTGCTTCACCTGACAAAGCCACGGCCTTGCTGCAGCACCTGCGAGCGACCCAGGGTGACGATCTGGGAGTCATCTTCAAGAACTTCGAAATGGGCCGTCGCAATTCTTCCGAGTCTGGGCCTGCATCTGAGACCAAATTTGGTAAGAACGATTCACCACCGACATCTACGGATTCTCCCTCATCGACAATGCTTGCCGTCCCTGAGATAATGGATCATCCCCGATTTTCCACTGTTCGAAAGGGCCAGACCGAAGTCACGGGCATCACTCTGCTTGCTCCGAACTACGAAAACGCAAGTGTTTCCAACGTCCACGGCCCATTAGAGATGTTCTTTAACTGTGTGGGAGCGCTATTTTACATTATGAACAGGAACGACGTCCAAGCATGCATCGAAGCAATCAAAGCCTCCGGAAACGAAAACATGCCACTCGGACACATGTTCAGCAACGGAAGTACAATCGAACTTCGTACTTATGCCGCAGAAATTGCGGGTATGGCCTCTATCGGTGTTATACATTCACAGCTAGCCGACCCTACGAAGGCACCGCCACCCGAGCTTGCCGATTACTTCTACGCAGTCGCCAAACTTGGCCTGGACTCTGCAATTCTCTACGATCCGCTTCGAGCCATGAATGTTTGCGCGCTGCTTGGCATGTATAACATCGTCGTCAAGGCGACAGTTGCTCTGGCTTACATTGGTACGAGTCACACTTGGGTATACACACGAGAAATTACGCCACTAATGACTTTCAGAACTTGGTCTGAGCCTTCCTCGCAACCGCAAAATATCTCTCGAAACATGTCCGCCAGACTGGTCTCCAAGCTACTACGATGACATTCGTCGCACGCATATGACTCTTGTCCACTTGCAATGGTCAGTTTGACATGCCTTTAGTTATGTGCGATATATCGCTGACTACTTCGATAGCTGGCTGAGCGCATCTCTTGACTACAACTCTGATTCGTTAACCTTCGACGTCCACCCATCTCTCACTGGACTAGACGTGCCGCCCCAGGACATGATTCGACGCGAATGCGTCAAAGTCTCCATCATCAAGGCAAGCTTACTTCACCGTCTACCAAGCAAGGCGCCTGTACCGGAAAGTGTCACGCTAGAGTTTCGTGCGCAGTTGTCGAGATTCCATGCCCAACTCCCCGACTGGATGTCAGTTGCTGCGCTGTTACGCGGCGACAACAGCCCGCTGATGGCCACATTCCGTCCAGTAATATTCTATGTTCATCTCTTCTACCTTTCGGCTATGATGCTGCTTGCTCGGCGGCTAATAATTGCATACATCCCGCTCGATGCAGGTGGCATCGTAGTTCTTCCACCAGAAGCACGACGGGCTATCGAGGAAGGATACCAAGCTGCGGAAACAAACGCTTCTGTCATGAGTCTAATGCTACAGGAAGGGAAAGTAGTACAAGTTTGCTGGCTCTGCATGTGAGTCAGGCGTATGTCACGGTGGCAAAGGATGCTAATCCAGAATGCCAGTTACACAGCCTACACGGCGGGAGTCATGATCGCTTACCAGGCATCACAAAAGGCTCTGAACAACGAACCGTACAATGACGACGTGAAACTGCTGGAGAAATGCATCAGTGTTCTCGAGTACTGTGCGATCAAAGATACGCTTGCTGGCAGGTTTCGTAACATTCTTGCAGCTCACATGGGGAAGCTGCAAGATTACAGATCTAAGACATGGGATGGTGAAGATCTCGCGACGCCCCCGACTTCTCTGGCGAGTGACAGCCTCTTCTTCTTTGATCGTGGTTCATCTGAGCTTCACACAGCAGTCTTTGACTTGCTTCGCCTCATACATCACCCATTCAGTGGCCTGAAAGACGTCGCGACAAAGAGTACGCTCTCGAATCGCGCCGAGACAACTATGGGCACCCACCTTGAGTGGGAGTACGAGCTCAAGAACAGAGACGACCCCGAAGTACCACCGAACGCAAATGACAGTGCATGTGTGACCGATATCAGATGCGAGCCAACGCAATCTCAGTGTTCGCCATTTTACCCAGTTTGCGCTTCGCAAGAGCTGTCGGCCCCGCCTTCGGAGGAAGCTTGGACAAGATGGACTCCAGCAACGTGGCAAAGTTCCTTTCACACATCACCAAAATGAGTTCGAAACCTCGTTGGCCCTTCTACGAGCACGATGATACGGTTCCCACGAGATATTACAGACGTTGACATTCAAGCCACACCATGGTACGCGTTCTGGGAGCAAGGTATGGAACCTTGCCAGCTCTCACGTAGCCTGGCTCCTTCCGCGTCCGAAAGATGACGGCGATAGAACATGGCATGGTGTCTTTGTTATGGAAGGGTGCTTCCGGTACCACAGTGTAATCCATGGGAAGAACCTATGCAGAGCTAGAGGAATCGTATACTGCCCATTTCCCTTTTATACCTATCGGTATTAAAATTCCACATTTACAGAAGTTTGTATACCATGGGAAGCGCGACACGGGCCTAATGGTCGGTAACGTTGAATACTGCACAACCTATCCCGCAGCTTTACATACGTCATAACCCCGCTTCAAACTATAGCAACCGCTCGACGCATTCGAACTGCGCTGCCAAATCATTCCATCTTCTCGTCAACATAATCATTAACACCACACCTCGTCATGACACATCCTACACCTACCCATATGGCGACGAAAGATCTTTTTAGGCTAAATGAACGGACTATCATAGGTACGGCTTACCAATCGACGTATGGACTGGAGCTGACACAGTCTTCTAGTTTCCGGAGGTGCCGGTGCAGTAGGTACGGCCGTAGGTGTAGCGATTCTAGAGAGTGGCGCAGATGTCGTTTTTGTCGATGTCTCCGACCCCACTCCCGAAAGCTGGGGTACACAATGCCTGCAATCTTCCAAATTTGATCTCCTGTATAACTGTGACCAGATCGGATTCAGGAAGTTGCGCGAGGTAATAATACCCATGCGCTATTCCAACGCCTCGATGTCCAGGATGAACCCAGCATCACATCAGCCTTCAACACCATCCGTGCTAAGCTTCGTCATCCGATCCGGGGGCTCGTCTCCTGCGCCGCCATCTCCGGCGAAAGCGATGCTTGTTCGTACCCCATCGACACATTTCGTACAATCCTCGATATTAATATCTCCGGCACCTTCCTCATCGCCCGTGCCGTAGCGAACGAATTGCACAACGCCAACCAACCCGGAAGCATCGTCCTGTTCGCCTCGATATCGGGTCACATTTCCAATCACGGCATCAACACTGCCGCGTACAATGCTTCAAAAGCGGCAGTGCACCAACTTGCTCGATCGCTTGCCGCGGAATGGGGTCACCCACAGAACACTTTTCCCGGTAGCACGGTCACGGAAACAAACCCAAATCCCAGCCAAGAGCCTCGAAAAGCTTATCCGCCGATCCGAGTGAATACCATCAGCCCCGGTCATATTGACACGCCTTTGAGCGCGGAAGCGCGGAAGAGGGGGTTGACGGACGAGTGGGCGAAACAGAATATGCTGGGGCGAATTTCAATGCCCGAAGAGTTCCGAGCGCCGGTGCTGTTCTTGCTGAGTGAGGGGAGCAGTTATGTCACTGGTTCTGTAAGCTGATCTCCTTTGACAAATGTAGGAAGAGAACGGTTGTGAAGCTAACATGTCATGTGCAGGATTTGAGAGTTGATGCAGGGCACTGCGCGTGGTAGAATCCGATGGAAGAGATGTACTCGTCGATTCATGCGTCCGAAAGAGATGAAGGTATATATATATACAAGAAGAATTCTAGAAGATAACCGCCAAATGTGGGCGATCTACTGCCTTAGCACCAACGCCTCGCTCGTTCGTAATCTTTTATGCAATGCAATGTATCGTCTACTAGCATCAACTTCGTGCTCCTCGTCAGACACCAAGAATATATTTTCGACCCTCTACTCGTTGATCCTGTGCTGCCAGACTTCCTGCTCCGCCCTCGCAGAGTAAGTGCTAGCACCAAGAATAGCCCTCATCTGATCAACGCCAGTGAAGAGAATCTGCCTAGCAACGAACCAGCGGATACCCTCAGTGCAAGGGGGGCTTGTCAAGCTACCCTGGTACGTCCAGAACTCGTTGAAGTACAGGACGCTCTCAAGCAGAGGAGCAAAGTCCATAGTAGTAGGCTCTTCAACACCCATCTCCGTGTAACTGATCATGGCGGGTAGTTGCTCGAAGAAAGTCGAGTTGGAGTTACCAGGGTCGAGGCGGATGGCCATGACGGCGGCTTCGTGACCCTCAGCGTCGACGTGGACGAGATGGAGCTCGGCTTTGCTGCGGTCGCCACCGACGGAATGGTCGGCTGGGGCGTGAATGTGCCAGCCCTTGAGGTAAACGGTCTCGTTGTCGTATGTGAAGCTTGGGTGGCTGGTCCAGTCAATGTCTTCCTCCGCTGCCTTCTCGTCGTGTGCAACGGTGAAGGCGGGACCGTAGCCCCAGTTGTAGAAGTTGCCGGCGACGCTGCCGTTGTACTTGAAGGTCGGCACGTGGTTCAAAGCCAGTCCGTTGCCTAATGAGAGTGCAATGGGAGACTGCTGAGTTCCGGTTTGGCAGAGATGGTAGTCGGGGCTGATCTTTCCCCAGTTGAAAGATGCTTCGTAGGCCCAGTCGTTCTGGGTTACGTTGGTGCCTGGAGGCACTTGTTGTCTTGTAGTGAGGTGTACATTGCGTTTGGCGTTGGTGTGTTGGGGACAGCTGAGTGCTGTGGGCGCTAGAGTGGCGGCGGCGAGGAAGATGGATTGGAACAGCATGGTGACGATGCTAGACTCTGTGTAATGTGATTGTCGGATGACTTGATAGGAAGACTGAACTGGCTGTGATGGAAAACTTGCTCGTCGTGCGAGGACATCTTATATATAGTCCAGTCGGGCCATTGAAAGGTCATCCGCCTTCACAACGACTACCCTAGTCCTTCAAGCAAAGGTCTCAGCCATGTCCTTCAATTCCGCCAAGCAGTCTTCACACATGCCCTTTTCGTGCGCCATGGAAGGTCTCCCATCGCCAAGTGCCCTATCTTTTCACTACCGTTGCGCAGCCTCTTTGCTTGCGCAGTAAGTACCATCAGGAAATGCACTTGGTTTCCTTGGGAGACGGCACGCGCTTGTATGTTGGAAACCAAACATCCAGCCCATTCCTCGTAGCAGTTCGAGCGCCAAGCATGAACCCTGTTTCCGACAAGAAACGCTTGTTGACCGAAGGCGATAGCGCAGGGGCGAGATCGCTCTTTGCTATCTCGAGTTAACCCGGCGATCTTGGCGGGAAACGGTCGCGCGGCTTCTACCCAATGCATTGATACTGGGGATTCCGACAAGATGAGACTTGGCGTGGAGAACCATGACTACCGTATACTGTAATAAGCTCAGCGGACAAGAACGGCCGGGAGAGGTCGAGTTGCTTAAATGATGACACGCAGCACGGATGTAGCAGTCGGCCCGTCGCGGGAACGTCAAAGCAAAACCTTTCCGCTGCTTAAGAGCTCTTGACGCGTGGCATAAGCATGATGCGACGACCAGGAAGCCACAGACCCCGAAGTCGAACATAACGTTGGATTGTGTAGATCAAAGAACGTGGGAGTAGTTCCTGCAGGTCCCACAGATCCGCCTAAATACCCAGACCTAGACCCTTCCATTACGTTGTACAACATCACCCATCGTTAGCTTGCACGCAGATCGATACCGCCGTGCAGCGCCGCCGCTACTCATCGAAGGCGTGCAACAATCAGGGAAACACGACCGCCAAAGCGGCGGCGCATTGCTGGATCTGTAAAAATCTCCGCTGTCGACCCGGATACGTCGACGAAACAGAAGCGGGCCGACGAAAGCTCTCTGTTCAGTCATCAAGTTGTTTCTGCTTCAGCCTTGGCGTGTATAGTGTCCAAACTTGCCAAGGGAGCGAGCTGCTTGGATCCAGTGTGTACTAAACACGAGGCGGGATGCGCAGTCGAGAGAAATGACTTGATGCATGACGGCACGATGCTGAGTATGTCGAGAGGAAACTGGATGATGTAAGAATATGGCATCCGGCTCCTCCGCATCGACGGCAATGCCCAACCAACTTTACCAACCAATCCATGAAATAAGTGAACATCCACATGACATAGATGACCTAGAAGTCTATATTGCCTTAGCGGATTGTTAAGGTTCGCATCTATACCATCACGGACTGCGGCACAGCTGTTCGATCTCTTCTTTATGAGACGAACTAATCTATTCTTAGCGATCAGTATCCAGGCCACACTACCTCGTCGCATTCGGGATGCTTAAAGGCTCCATTGCTCATCTCGTACTCGTACTCCAGATCAGGTTGAAACTCCCAGTATAGGCTCTCAGCATCGGCCCCCATTTTGTATGTATATGCCGCTGCATCGTCGTCGACGTAGACCTTCGGGACGCCGTTGGCCGCTGCCGCTTCTATCTTCAACTGGACATCGCAAGAGCGTTCCATGAGGGTGTACAAGAACGCGGCTTCGTCGACGGTACCTCCTACCGTCTGTGTGGTATTAGCTGAATGCCGGTCGCGGGATCGCGCACTGGGAGACGTACCAATAGGCCGTGGTTTTGTAGAACAAGACCTTTTCCCTTTGGTCCTAATGCCGCTGCCAGCCTCTTGCCTTCTGCCTCATCGAGGACAACGCCGCCAAAGTCATCATAGACGGCTTGCGCATCGCCGTAGAAGTAGCATACGTCTTGATTCAGCATCTCCAATGGCTTCGCAAAGGCGCTCCACGCTTTGCCTGCCTTTCCATGGCAATGGCATGCCGCGTTGACGTCTGGCCGCGCCTTGTGTATTGCCGAGTGGATAAGGAAGCCAGCTGCGTTTGCAGGTCTGCTCTGGTTTCCGCCCACCACCTTGCCATCGTAATCAACAAGGACCATGTCGGATGCCTTCAGGAGACCGAAGTGCTTTCCGAGCGGGTTTGTCCAGAAATTGTGCGGGTGCTCTGGGTCTCGCACCGAGATGTGACCCGACATGCCTTCGGTCAGGCCGTGCCTTGCGAAGACGCGAAAAGCACCCGCCATGTGCGATAGGATCCATGCGCGCTGCTTATCGTACGAGGAGAAGAGGGGGATGCCGGGGAGGCAGACGCCCTGCGAGATGGCTTGCAACGGCGTCAACTCCTTGGTCGCGTCATCTTTGGATCGTGGGACGAGCTGCTTGGGTTGCGCGACGGGCGCTGGCTCGACCTGGATAGCGGAGGGTGCCATGTTGGAATGCGATGCGATGCGATGCGATGGGGTCTAGCTGTGGGTAAGTAGGCCGTGTAAGTTGCAATGGATCAAAGATGGGCTTGAGTCGAAGCTCTTGGATGCGCCGTTGTTATACCCGTGGACTTCAGACGACCGCGATCAGGCCGATGTTATCGCCTCAAAGGGCGCGTCGAGTGGAGAAGAGTGCGATAACGGTCCAGTCGAGCTCAAGATGCGCTGCGGGGTGCCGCCCTAGTCGCCGGCTAACTTATCACCGGCCCTTTCTCCACGCCGCTGCCACATCAACGACTATCCAACCAATTCACACGACGAAGAAGATGAACCGAACCTTGCAGCCGACAGCATGAACAGGTTAGAAGGTTAGGGTTCCGGCATTAGCGTCGAGGCCACCAAATCATATGACAAGAGTTCTCAAGGCAACGCGTTTCGTTCTTCTCCTGAGTAGAATGAGCCCTTTGTCCATGCCGCCACTTCGATAACTGTCCAACGGCGAGCAGCACCGACCGCATTGAAGGCTATGCTTGTCAATGTGAGGGAGATCGAAGAGCTTGCTCTATACTGCAAGCAGCCCAGCCATGCTGTGTCGCTTCGCATTTCCTCGCTGGCAATCACATGTCCGCAGCATCACGAACAAGGATCAGGAATCGTCTGCCTTCAGCTCTCGATCGGCATGCCGGCACCTGAAGTACAGCTCACTATCTCATATACATGGCAGCGTTGGGGCCAATTCCGAGTAACATCATATAATACATCTTTCTTCGATCGGACGCAGATTCCATCCAGGCAGATGAAGGCGGCTCGTTCGAAAGTGATTAGCAAGAGGAAGATAGTTCTGCTTGAAGATATTGTCGATTTGGGACGTTGATAAAACGCTGAGAAGAAGTCATTGCGTACGTATACCCCTAGGCCTACATCGACGTTGTTGTGGGATCTGGCAGAAAGAAACGTGTTACTTCGTTCTCTCGCAGCCAAGATGAGACGCGGAGCATCTCGTCAGCCCATCGAAGTCTCGGTGGCATTACAACCGAAAGGTTCGCCCCACCAAGGCGCAGCCGCAAGGTAGGTCCTCCCAAATCACGATAGCGGGGTGCATCTTCGTCGCGAGAGCAAGTAATTATCCCGCCAGCCCAGCCAACATGGTGCTGTGCCTTGCTGTATACGTCCGACATCCCACGTCTTGGAGTAATTTCTGCAAGACATACATAAACCCTCCCGGCCGACACGATGGCCGAGAGCGCTCGAGATGCGATATTTAAAGAGGTCAATTCTGCCTTCCTTGATCAAATCACCCACCCCACGTTATTCGTTCCCAGCATTCAAACCTCAAGTATCATTCAGGATGTCTTCAGGCAAGACCGTCACCCTTAGCTCTGGCTACAAGATCCCGTATGTTGTTCCAGCCTGTGCTTATGATGATTCGTTGTTCTGACGTCGCTTTAGTCAATTGGGATACGGTACATGGCAAGCCGCTCCTGGTGAAGTCGGCAACGGTGTCTACGAGGCACTAAAGATCGGATACCGTCACTTGGTAAGTCTCCGAGACCCTGAAGATCCTGGAACCGTTTACATCCATCTTTTGAACGACAATTGTGTTCCGTTTTCAACGGCTAACTCGATCAAATTAGGATCTTGCAAAGATGTATGTGCACCATCACAACTTACACTCACAATGCCTTTTTCACCCATCTCACCTCGGCCTTGTCTCCACCTGACGTGGAACAATTTTCCGTCAGCGTTGTTGGAAGTCCAACTGCAATGCCCCTCAGTGGAGATGGAAGCTTAGGAAGCTATGACCATACCCCACTAGCACTCCTGAGAACACAAGCTGACGAGATATTCCACCAATCACAGCTACGAGAACCAAAAGGAAGTTGCGCAGGGCATCAAGCGCGCATACAAGGACATCCCAGGTCTGAAGCGTGAGGACATCTTCATCACGGGAAAACTGTGGAACTCTCAGCATGATCCTGCCACTGTAGAGGCAGCTCTCGATGACACTCTCGCTGAACTTGAGCTGGAGTATCTCGACCTGTACCTCATTCACTGGCCTGTCAACTTCGGGCCTGGAAAGGACCCTCACTCGGATCTGTTCCCCATGACATCTGATCCTAATGAGGTTAACATCGACAACTCCATCCCTAACAGCGAGACATGGAAGGCCATGAACAAGCTGCCAAAGAGCAAAGTCCGCTCGGTGGGCGTCTCCAACTTCACATACAAAACCTTGAAGGCTTTGGTTGAGAAGACTGGCCTCGTGCCCGCCGTCAACCAAATCGAGCGTCACCCCATCCTCCCCAGCAAGGAGCTCGTCGCTTACGCCAAGGAGAAGAACATCCACATCACCGCCTACTCCGCCTTTGGCAACAACTTCTTCGACATCCCACTGCTCATCCACCGCCCTGAGATCAAAGCAATTGCGGAGAAGAAGGGCGCCACACCCGCGCAGGTCATCCTGGCATGGTCTCAAGTCGGCGGCCACTCTGTCATTCCCAAGTCTGTTACTCCGTCGCGCATTGCTGAGAACTTCAAGGAGATCGAGCTGGACGACGAAGACATCAAGGCGATTACCAAGTTCTCGGATGAGCACCAGGGAAGGAGAAGGTACAATGTTCCCTACACGGCGAACAAGCCTAGATGGAGCATCAACATCTTCGATGAGCCAGAGGAGCAGGAGGCGCCCAACAAGGTCGTCTTGTAGATAGAGTAAGCCTATAGGTAGCCACAATACTTACCAATGTTGACTTGAGCTTCTCGAACGACTACGCGTTTGGATAAGCGTGGGTTGTTGGGAGTGAATTACTGCGTCAAGCTAGATCGTATCCTTGCTCGGTGAGGATATGAGTATGATAACGCCAATTCGTTATCAGCTCTTGGGTAAGGGGGTTGAGGGTGCGACGCGTAAATTTGGAGGACTGAACTACCTAGGTAGCACGTACCGCCTAGTGGCGGGCTAGTATCCTTTCAGTTAGGTCAAATCACGTATCTGCGTCACACACGCCGCGTCGCGTAACTCCGCTACCCACAGCTTCAATAACGCCATCTCTTGTTTGTGTCTCGTGTCACACTCGATGCCTTCTATGACTTCCTTACACAGGCCTTGCAGTCATCGTTAAACCGATCATGCTGTCCAGCGCTCTTCACGACGCCAGCAACGCGAACAACGTATCTTCATCGAGGACTCTGGCTCGTCTGGTATCTTGAGGAAGAAAGATTTATTTTGTCATCATTCAAGGAGCAGAAGGAGCGCAGCCACGTCGGTGGTCAGCCTACATAGTCGCTTCATGTGCCACTGGAAACTCGACACCTACCACACCACTTGGCTCAGCGCGAACAGGGCCTCTACATGCCATCGTTGATCTGCACTCCACCAGGTAAGCTCTTCAACCCTGCTCAGTAAGTTAGCACAGTGCCTTGGTGTCTAGTGCTGCGCTTACATGTCTCAAATCCGTCGACATCCTCAACCACCGTCTGCGGAATACTGCATTTCATCGCATCTTCGTCGCTCTGCCTCTCCAACTCGCTGCATTGATCGTTACTGCAGCGTGCATCCAGCGCTCGCTGCAGCGCATCGCCTTTCCAACCAAACATATAATCACCGTGGTTCCCATGGCCGGTTCTACAACCAGTCGTTAGCATGATCACGGTCCTTCGCGCGTTTGAACGGGAAGAGGAGGCCTTACGCGTCGCCCATACTGAACACAAAAGGTTGCGTCCCTTCCTCGCCCCAAAGCTCAGGAGTATTGAATGGGGTCGTGTCAAACATGACCTCATACATGACTTGCGGTAGCTGCACGGGAAAACCCTCTGGACACTTGCCCCTCTGCTGCTCGGGTGTATACGGAAATGTCGCCATGGGCGGGAAATATGGCTCATACGGGATCTCTGCATATGCGACGTGGCTCTGGTGATCCGGTGAGTCCAGATTGACGCCGTCCCAGCATGTAGGAAAGGAGACTTGGGTACGAATACCACCTTCGCACATGCGGTTGGGGAGGAATGTTGTATCCTCTCCTGTACATGGCGCGCCACCAAAGGGCTGTGAGTCCTTGTAAATGCAGCGATGGCAGATCCCGCGGGATTCGCCCGTCGTATTGCGAAGAATTGGGTTGCCAGCGAGCATGCGGAAACCCTAATGAGAAGTCAGCAACGAAGTTCGTTTTGAAGGCAAGCGAAAGCGCTTTCGCCCTCAAGAGTGGGAGACGAACGGGTCTGAACGCAGTCACGTTGCTGAAGCCATCATATGGAGGTATGTAGTACACTGTCATACCGCCTCTCTGGTTTAGCCCAAGATTGGGGAACTGCTGGACACGTTTGTAGGTGCCATTTTGAGGTGCGCGGTAGTATAACGCTGCAGTCCAGTAGTTGCTATGTTTCGTCAGCTATGGCTCCGCTTCGGCCAGTCGCTCCATGGCATACCTGAAGTCTTCGCTGAAAGTACACGTGGTACACGTACTCCTCTCGACCAGATCATACTCCACAGGCTTCATGTCAGCCTGAAAGCTGTTTCCCCCGACGATTTGGTGGGTATGTGGACTTCCAACGACTCCAGGGTTGACCAAGGGGTCCAGTCGCTCGACGGTGAGTTGAGAACATGCGAAGCGCATCATCGCGGCGCCGCGACTGACATTCTGAGCTAGCGCCGCACTGATGAGCGTGGCCGCTACGAGGATTAAGTTCTTCATGATGATTAGACGGCGGAGCAGATATCTTTTGCAGACCAGTCAACAGGACGACCGTCGTTCAGACCAGATGAATATCTATGGAGAGACCTGTGCAGTCATCTATGTGGGGCGCACAAGTGCCGGGACCCAAGCAGTCTTGTCCAAGGCAACTCCCTTCTAAAGGTTCCAGTACAGTGGATTCTGCGACGTTGGGCCATTCGAGGGAGTGGTGTACAGTGCACTCGCATATTGAGCGACCAGGGTCTACCCAATCATGCATCTACCGCACGATAACATCACAGGCTTCTGATAGTCCAACTAGTGACGAGGCACTCA